AAAGACACTGAATGTACAGTGATTTGCAATTATTGCATGAAATGCTAAATTCCCTGATTAAATCTTGGTTTACGAAAGAATAAGGAAAATCTTCATTTATATTATATATAAATCTTTTGGGCAGTAAACATTTGGAATTCTATTAAAATCCACTATAATAATTAATAATATATAATATTCTAAATTAATTAAAGATTGAAGATTTATTATTTAATCGTAATTTTTTGTGACAATTTATATTTATTATAAATTTTTAATTGCTTAGACTTTGGATATTGTTTCGCTTCAATATTGTTTTATAAAGAAAAGAATGTGAATCTTTACTTAATTTAAATAATGAATTCATTCTTCATGTTATCTCTTAATCGCTAATCATTCCGCATATAATGTATTTAAATTCCTACTTCTTTGAACTATAGATATTACACGTTGAATTAATTAAATTGACATTTACATCATGATTGAGGTATCTCAATCATGATCTTAATTTTTTATTTATAATCGATTAAAAATCAAGGTTCTCTGTTTTTATATTGCAGTTATTCACAGAGTATATATCAACCTTCTTGATGAGAAGTATTTGAAGGTAATTCACGTGGAGACCTTTATTCATCGAATAAATAAACGATCGAACTTGTCTCAATGCGATCGCTATGTCACGATTCGAATATGCATGGCGAATTCTCGATCGAATAAATATACTTTAAGAATACTTTAAAACGCGTACAACAATATCATTTATTTTCTGACATCTTCCGGTTTCTCGAATAAATATACGAAGGTGAATTCGATCGGAAGTATCGAAGATAGATTAGACTATTTCAATGTTGCTTTGCGATATGATACTGTCTATCTAGCTTGGTATGATTCATCTGTTCATGGATAAAGATAGGATCCGTTTCCTTGCTTGGGGCGCATTATGACTTCCAAGTGACACGTTGCAACATCGCGACTGCTTAAACATTACACGGAGGTGACCATACAGATAAAGAAGCGTTATGCAAGTAGTGAGGAGAAAAATTTCTTTGCGCAAACATTAATAGATAATCGCCACACAATTTGCATTATGAAAAACATTTTGTATAACTACACAAGCGGGTAACATAGAATTAATGTCCAAGAGATAAATGACTGTAACATTTTTTTATTTACATTTTTGAAATAATTTTTTCACTTTTATAATTACTATCTGACTTTTTACACACATATAAACAGATATAAATTCTTTATAATTTTTTAATAAATCTGAAATGTATTAAAATTCCAGGCTCACGTTTGCTCTTCATCCTGAACGTTTGTCGCTCGATAGAGAAATATTGCGAGAGAGAGACTCTTTGACACGAAAGCCCCGTTTTCTCTCGCACTTTCCTGCCGCTTTGCCGCTTGACTAGTCGCGCTACGCACGCTAAATCAAAGACGTGACGGTGACGCGTATCACGCACAGCCGGCGCCGGCGTCTTCGGCGGCGCGAATTACACGACGATAAAATAAACGGGCGTGAAGTGCATGTCCACATTATGGGGGATTTCCACTTTCTTCCTCAACAATGAACGCTCTGCGGGAGACAATGCATAGACAAAATTCTAGACATGCTAATGCATCTCTGCCTCACATATTTGACAATGTGCGTGGATGATAAATTCTAATATACAATATTCTTAAAATATTCTGTAAAATATTCTCTAATATATATATATTAGATTTTAATATAGACATACAAATATTTTTTTATATATTCACACGTGATATATGCAATATTTTTATATATTATAAACGTTAGATATTACTTTATATTATAATGTGTAATGTTTCTTTGCTCTACAGTGATATTTATTCATGGACTAGTTAAAAATTTTATTTTTCGAATGTAATAATTAATAAGTAATATATATATATATATATATATATATATATATATATCATTTAAATTTTTCTTACCGCAGATCGACTCGTGAGCAAGAAAATAAGAATAGTGGCACTCAGTTTTGCACGAATAACGTGATTCTTCATGCAATTGTATATCTATCTCACAATCAGTATTCATTGTTGTGTGTCGCTTTCGATCGCACGTACTTTTTTTTTATAAGAAAAAACGTGATCAGACTCGAATTTGCATCTGTGGCGTGTTTAAAAAAATGCAGTCGACTCGCAGGCATGCGATGCAACAACCGGTGAAAGTAATCAAGAGGAAGATTATTACGCCACGTCGTTAGACGCATCGGCCTAAATTCGGGTCATTAAGCGAAGAGAATCGGTCTTCATGACCGATGTAATTACCGGGTCCGTTTGTAATTAATAGAGATCGGTTGTTCTCACCGTGAATTTCCATTATCACTGACGCTCTAATATAAAAATAAGAAGACTCATCTCTCAGCGTAATCAATATACGTAATTATCTCATTTGTTCCTGTAAGTGCATTTTCGGTGCAATCGGATCGCGGAAACAGCCTCTTTGCATTGCGAAAGAGAAACGACCGGATATTAGATCTCGACAACCTGATTCTCGTTGCTTTATTCTAGCCGCGGAGCTCAAGACCAATGGTTGCTATATGAAAAGTCTCAAGAATCTGAGCATTGTTTCACAATGTAACACACATCTCGGATCGTTTCCTTCTCCTTATGCGAACGTAATAATTTCTGTAACGAATCGCCTGAACTTCACATTCCAGAAATTTGGAATAACCCGATAATCTTATAGTCATGAATGGTTTTTCGATGGATAATTAAAAGTACAATTATAGGCTCGCTTGGTTTTGCATAATGAGAAAACTGTACACGATTCAAGACGTAAATTTGATCAATGCTCTCGTGGCTTCAAATGAATTATTCCCGATAATTACTGCATGCATAACGAAGTATATCGAATTAATAATAAGTACTGAGAAGCACAAAGGGTATACAATGCAACGTGTGCGTGTATAGATGTACGTATCTGCGTGCGCCGGAGAACTCTCGACATTAATTTTAATGAGGGATTCTTCGACCGATTTGTATGGAATCGATTTATGGCAGTATGTTCCAAACGACGACGGTTTTAAAAAATATATATGTATATCGCGCGAAAGTTCTACGTGATGCATCGAATGCATTGTGAGGAGCGGCATGCATCTGTCAAGAGCGTGAGATATCGGACGGGACATGATGTCCGTAGAATAGAATAGAAGGACCTGCTTAATCTCTCTCTTTCTCGCGGCAGAACGAGACAGAAATTGCACTTTCGAATGCGATAAATAAGGTCGATTATCGGCGTAATTTCCGCTGTCATGGTACGCTCGTGCGCGCGGGTGTGTTCCTTGGAAAGGAACGGCGAGATTGCCGACGATGTGCCAAAGGAGAGATGTGCCTCTAGACTTGGAGGATCGCACCAGTACACGCCCGTGTTGGGAATAACGCGCCTCACTTATGTAGAATTAACGCATGTCTTATCTTCGTGCAGGAAAGTGGACGGTTTCACCGTTACGCACTCGGGGCATCATTTCGCAAATCTATGTAGGTTTATAATACTAGAAAACGATCGGGTGTGTTAAGCAAGTGTTGTTTCATTGTCTGTTTAAACACAGCTCTTTGACCTGAATTCTTGCTATTAATAACCCTATAACAACCAATTTTTTTTTGCGGATATCATTAACACATTTTTTTAGTTATTATGTTTAGTATTATACAGTTAAATTTTACAGTTTTATAAAATAAAGTTTACGTTATTATTAGGAATAATTTTTAAATTAAAAATAGCTCTCTTTGATATAACTATCTTTTATGAAAATTAAATATGATTTCGAATTTTAATAAATATATAAGCAAGAACTGCAAAGTTTACAAATATTGTTACAATCACGGAAAATAATATTAATTATATTATGTTTAAATGTTAGCTATAGATTACTAATATTTTTATTTAAGCTATAAGTTTTTAAAGAATTCTCCGTTTAATTATAATCAAAAATATTAATTAGCGTAGCTAACAATAAAATTCAAACGTAATAACTAAATTTTAGATGTAATATAAAAACACCTAAAATTTAGTTATGATAGTTAATATTTATTTTCTGTGATAATAATATATTTTCAATTATTTTTATTACAATTTTAACTACAATTCATAGCAGAATTTTCTTTATAATTTTACGTGTTCTGACATAGGTATGTCATATACAAATTAATAATATGTTTTAAATAATATATTATAGCACTTTAAACTCGGTTAATATTTTTGACAGTTATCAGCTGATTTCTGTCAAAAAATATTCGCGGATAAGATATTATAATATATTTACTTTTATTGACAGAAATCAGCTGATTAAAACGTCGATTAATCTTTTTTGACAGTTATCAGCTGATTTCTGTCAAAAAATATTATTCGAGTTTAAAGTATTATAACATATTATTTACAACATTATTATTTTAATTCTTTATAACACATTTTTATTTTAAAACTTAATTAACAAATTAACGCTCGAATAAATTGATTTCTGTAAAAAAATATTCGAGCTTAAATAAATTTATATTATTTTAATTTGTTAATTAAATTTTTAAATAATATTATATGAAAATTAAAATAGTAATATGTTATAGTTCTTTAAACTCGATTAATCTTTTTTGACAGTTATCAGCTGATTTCTGTCAAAAAATATTATTCGAGTTTAAAGTATTATATAACATATTATTTACATTATTATTTTAATTCTTTATAACACATTTTTATTTTAAAACTTAATTAACAAATTAACGCTCGAATAAATTGATTTCTGTGAAAAAATATTCGAGCTTAAATAAATTTATATTATTTTTTTTTAATATCATTTTTTTTAACATTAAATTGAAGATTAACTCGTGTTGTTCTAGTCTTGAAATATTTTCTGTTATACACATATAAATTTGTAAATTAAATACAATAACACTATAAACTGTTTAAAATGGGTTTCACGGGGTTCTGGTAATTCTCTCACTTTTGTTTGAATTTATCTGAGCAGTTTACTAAACATATCTCTCCTTGATTGCAGCAGTGCGGTAGCGGCAGCAGCGGCGGTGGCGGTTCGACGGAGGGTGTCGTGGTGAGCGTCGGTGCCGGAAACGGCGTCGGCAGCAACAACGGCGTCGGTGGCATGGACTGCATGCCCCTACGTCCTGGTCCGTTCCACTACTTAATCAGCGAGCAAGCCAAGTCCCTGGTAGCCTTGCAGGAACTGCAGAATGAGGTCGGCGCCCTGCTCGAGTTCCGGGACCTCGTCATCGAGACGTTCCCAAACCTCCGGCACAAGATGGCCGCGACGGCGTCCGCGGGTGCGTCCGTGATGTCGTCCACGTGCACCCAGAGCTCGCACATTCCTCTACCGTTGTCGAGTCCGTCCTCGCGAAGGATCGGCGAATGGGAACCCGGCAAGATAAGACGGCGAGTGACCCGCGAGGCCGGCAGCAACGGAAGCAGCGGCGGCGGAGGCGGCGGTGGAGGCGAATCCTCGTCCTCGTCGCTGCCGAGGAGTCGCAGCAACTCGCACAGCGGCGGTACCAAGAACAACTGTAGCGCGACTGTCCAAGATTCCGGCTTTAGCACGGAGACCTCGTCGAAGGACAGTGCCTCGACGGCGATCGCACCGCGAGCGAGTAGTCCCAGGCCGAATCCGTTGGACGAGGCGGAGGACGAACTCTGGAACCTGCTAGATGTGATCCATCGCAAGGGGATCCGTCTCCGGGAAGAGGTCGAGTGCCTTCAGGGTCGCCTGGAAAGTGTGGCGACGGAGGAACTGGCGTCGACGGACGTGCTCGAGGTCGTGAGAAATATCACTGGGCTCGACGATGCCGATACGACGATCGATCGAGGTAACAATATTATTGTCGACGAGCAACGGCAGCAAAATAGCAGAGACCCGCAGGTGATAGCGCTCAGACGAGAGAAGGAACAGTTGCTGGATAAGGTGGCCGAACTCGAAGCGGAGACGATATCGAGTCGCGTTAGAGCTCAGGAACTGCAAACGGAACTAGCCGCCTTGTCAGCGTTGAAAACTGGTCTGGAGGATCGGCTGCGGGCTGGATTAACCGAAAATGCCTCGGAAATCTTGGTGCCGGGTGTTCAGAGACTACAACCGATCGCGCCAGTGATCTCCCCACCGAAGAACGCCAATATTAATATCAAGAGCAAAAGCTCGGCGTTCGCGTCGGTCACCGGTAGTCCTGGAAGCAAGGCTTATAAGAGTCGCTTTCGCACGAGGACTATCGAGAAGAACGTGCTGCTGGACGTTGTCGGGTGCAACGATGAGCCGCGCAATATCGAGATCGATATCGAGGCCAGCGTGAACGAGAGGCGAGCCAGGTTGGGAGCGCTCGATTCCATCCTAGTATCGCCCACTAGGGTGGCTCACGTGAAGGATGTAGATTCGACAAAGATCGCGGCCATTCTTCGTGAGCACTCGCCCCTCGAGCTTCAGCGGCATTTAATCACTACTACCGTCCATAATCAGGTAAGCTCAGAGTATTTCCTGTATTTATTTGTGAAATTGTGTCTATGTAAATTAATTTATTAATAATCTATCGTTTGCAGGTCCTACAAAAAGACTAGATGAAGTAGAGAAGAGTACGGAAACTCTCTCCGAACGATTAGACAAAGCGCGCGAGGAGAACGATGATTTGCGGTTTCAGGTATCAAATTGCTCTATTATGACACTAGAAAGAGTTCATCACGAATCTTAAAATACGTCGTATTCTCTCTCTCGAGAACATTTCATTCGATATTACAATATAAAATAATATGTTTTCAGTTGGAAGAACGAAACATCGAATTAGAAGGCACGCGGGCGCGAGTGCGCGTGTTGGAGCGCCTTCAACAACGACCGCCGACGGAACTCGAGCCCGAGACGGATCTGGAACAACCCAGATGCGAACAGAGCGGCGTCGAACCTGGCAGCAGTACGGAGTCCGCGCGAGATCATCATCAGCCGGTAGAGATCAAACCGTCGCCACGACGGCGTCCTAGTCGTATACCTTTACCTGGCAGCGCGAGTGGCAAGACGACGTCAACGACGCCTACGACGAGCGCGACTACGATCGCGCCATCGCGACCTAGTCACGGCAGGAACGACAGCAGGGAATCGCTGAAATCGCTGACGAGACTGCCGCGTGATTCTAGTCGCGACAGCCACGGCGGCGGCAAATCGTTATCGAAACCGCGCGACTCTAGCCGGGATTCGCTCGGGAATAGGAGTCTGTCCAAGAACGGGAGCAACGGAAGCGGCAGTAATGGTGGCGGCGGTGGCGGCGGCGGCGGCGGCGGCGGCAACAAGGAAGCAAATCGGGAGTCGTCCCTGAACAACCGATCCTTGCCTCGTAACAATTCCAGCCGAGATTCCCTGAATAAGTCCTCCTCGCTGTCCCGTACTCGTGACTCATTGGAATCTAACAACCTTGGCACACCCTCGCCTACGACTAACGCTCCTCCCCGACGACCGCCCGCTCCCGCGCGCCGTTCCCACAGCCTGGCGCGCGTGGCGACGTCTGTCGATGCGTCCGAAAACGGCAAGGTACGACCCGTAAAGCAATTCTTTTGGAGCAGCTGGCTGAAGTCACCGTTGTCCAATGGCCCGGTATAGTAGAAAGCTATCGACAAGCCTTCTCTTCCTATGAACAACAGGCCATTGTTGCTCTTTTTCTTCCCTCCTCTCTCCCCTTCTAGACACAATCATCGTTTCTAACAGCGTTTCCTTCAAAATCCGTTTTGCTTTTAAAGCGAGATTCAAGAACCGTTATTCCTTTCTGATAGAATCCTATCTCGGTCCGGATTAATTTTAAGCTCGTTAAACCTCGGCTAGACAGATCATATGGCATCGCTCTCGTTGACTATCTATCTATAAATACTTTGCTACATTATCATTTCTATTTGACGATGAATCCCTCTCACTGTCTTCTCGCCATTGTGACTGTTCATCACTGTTACTGTCATTACTGTTACGTCACGTCGTGTACAATAACCGTGACTACATCAGCCGTGATACGAAAATAAGAATACGAAGATAAGAAAATCATGCGTTTACCGAGGGATATATCTGGTCCGATTTCCTGTAATGATACAGACAGATGTATGCAACATTGTCATTTTTCCTCGTCTTTCCCACGGCGTCTTTCTTCATATCCTTGTTCTATTCCACAATCTTTACCCTACCACGAACTTCGATACGGTACCGCCAATGTACGATCACATACAGGGCCGGAACTTTTCCGTTTTCGCTGAGAACCTGCCACTATCTTTGCCTAGTAAACCAATGTTCCTGAAAAACACATCTCTAACGATACGTGCAGAGACTCGAGCGAGCGAATCGACCGAGATTCTTGTATTAAAATCATCAATTGTCCGCCCGACCGTCCACCATACCGAAATCAGTCTGACCTGGAGGGCAGGCGAGCGTGCGTTCGAGCCCGTCCCCGGCGGTCCAATAAAGAAAGAAAATGGCCCCTTCTCGCGTGCCACCGGTTTTTTCTCGTAAGTTATGCTTCTTTTATTATCATTTGCTTCGATGCTTCTCTCTTGGATGTGGTGAGCTGCAGCCTCTGCCTTTTCAATCCACTTTCATATATCCTAGCTTACACTTATAGAGTATACACTATAGTTTTTGAACGTTTCCTCACTCTTGGATTTCAGCATGCGCACATACCCGTAGTTAAGTCTCCTAGGTGAGTGACAGTAAGAAATGCTTATGCTCGTGAATATTTATTACGTGAGAGTTTATTTGAACTATCAGAGAATGGATAACAACAGTTTTAATACGCTAAGATTTTGCCTGAACGTAGAGTTAATATAAACAGACTGATCGTGTTAATCAGTACTTACAATTAGAGATTCTTACCTTAATTTCTGCTTTATTTTTCTCTTTCAAGAAAGAATGCTAATAACATAAGTAAATTTAGAATCTGTAATACAACCTAATATATTTTTAATTTTCTAATCTCTAAGCAAGTTTCAACAATCTATAGAAAATTTTGAAAATTGCGTAAAATAAAATAAATAATATTTTGCATCGGTATATATTGCATTTGATTATAAAGGGTTATCAGGGTTGAATTTCGCTGCTTTTTCTCTTCTTTCAATCGTTTATTTACGAGACCCATGCATGCGAATATTTATTGAAAATCTATGCATTGATTGAAGTGAGACCGACCGCTGGAGAAAATTGAGAGACATCCTAAGCACGTTTAGATAAAAATCCAAATTTGCCTTTTGCCCGTAAAGACGCGCACAACCCGACACACACATGTCCAATTATTACCTCGACACTCCCGTTGATTTCTACATATTTTCAAGCATCTGACGAGATAACATTACGTTCGGCACGCATCTTCCCTACCGTGAACATTCACCTCGCGCTAGCGAGCCATCCTTCCCTCTTTCAATACATACATTTGTGTGTTCAGTTAGTTTGCTCTTTTCGTTTGCTGAGGTTTGATCTTATTTGCTAGTATGCGTTGCTTGTATGCGGATGTAAAAGCTCGAGAGAGCCGTCGCAGATCTACTACAGTCTTACAACGCGACCAGCAGCGATTTTGAGGGAAAATGAATCGAGCACACGCTTACCTGCTTGGCCTTGCGGTTCATTGTCCATCTCATATCCAGCAAATACCGCGCGCGAAATACGATGCTTTATTTATTATATTATATTTTACGATATATTTGTCAACACAAATGTAATTCCATGAGACGCTCTCTTTTATACAATATTACGAGTCTTATGAACGTTTACATTTTTACAATTTCAACTCGAATCAAGTAGTAAAGCTCTGCTTCGTATAAGATTTTTACTTTGACCCATACAACATACTTTATAAATATGAGATGATACCTCATCTTGATACCTCAGCATTAAAACAGACAGTGGTGTCAGTGTTAATTGTAGATTTTGTTATCGTTTTACATTCATAATTTTTTTCACATGCAGTATTGACTGTTCTACTGGCTGTTCCAAATTCTTGGGTATTAATACAATATAATTTATTAATATAAAGTTTGTTCACTTCCAAGACGACATGAATCGTAGTCTTGGCAAGAGCACAATTTTCTTGCTTGTAATAGAACAGCAGGGCGTGCTTTATTCGTCCAACTGATTAAACTAATTAATATGCTTTTTGTATCTTTCCCAGAGCTGCACCGAACCACCAAGTTCCTGGTGCTCGACCAATAGCAGCTTCCGGCACAGTGATTCATCGCTCTATCCGGACTCCCTGAATCAAGAAACATCGTCTGTCACCGGTTCCACGCGAGTGGAATTCATAATCGGTTCGCCAACTCGACGCTTCCGTACAAGCACAGCCTGGCCTCATCGTTACTTCGACAGTATTGACTCGGCAGCTACAGTTCCGGAGAGTCTGTTAACCGACGAGTTTCCTCTGCGACGCGGTGAAGCTCTGGCCGAGTGCGACTCGCTCGAATGTCATCCGATCTCGAGCGAGGATTAAGTGCCGCGTAATCGTTGACGTTGCGTCGTCGACAGAAACAAATAGGGTGATGAGTCGTCTAGCGAGAGCAAGTTGCTATTGCTTCTTTTTGTTATTTTACGTTGGATAATTGGCTCAGCATACACGCGGCCTTATTATCCTAATATCGTGTCACCGACAAACATACGAATGTAGAAATAATAGGATAGGAGACACATATGCATTTTTAGATAACGACACGCTGAAAGAATGACACTCGCATTCTTAATGACCCTTATTCTGTGCCTTTTTAATATCGAAGTTGTTTCTTTTAAATCATCTTACAGTGATTTGAAAACAAAATTCTGAACAAAATGATGTGTTTCTAAACTGAAATGTAATACTATTTCTCGCTATAGGACATTACTATGTACTTTTCTCAAGTTACATTTAGAAAGCATTTCATACATCTTTGTAATATGACAAAAATTCTTTAGAAATCTTGTCTAATCAAAAATAATAATATTGACTTGCTTTACGAATGTACATCAACGAATATTAACTGACATAGCTAGTAATAATAAAAGCAAAAAGATTCATGCTATGTTTTCCGGTGATATAGAAATTTAGTCAAAATTTTGAATTCGTATAAATATATTATGTTTATTTAGTGTAAAAAATGCAAAGACGTAATCAAAAATTATTTCATATCTTTTCACGAGTTTCTACAAAATGTATATTATTTTTTTCTATCCAGAGTTCTCGTATATATATGAAACATATATCTATTTTATCGAAAAGTGTGCACTAATTTGAATCAATTAAGAACATTTTTTTGAATATCTTATAGAATTATATATATCAGTAAAGATGTCAAACGATTATGTCTATTTATTTTGATATTTTTTTTTATATTATTTGATGTTTTTTTTATTATTGTGTGTAAGCGAACAACTTGGTTTACTTAACCAACGTCAAGAATGAGTTTGTTAATCAAACTTTCGATTACTTGGTCCACGTTTGGTAACTACTTTGTAATTTTGTTAATTTTGTGTAATCTACGTCTCTTATTTTTATATATTTTTCACAATATTAAATCTTATTTTATTTTGAACTTAAAGCTATTGTTTAGCAAAAGTGTCGTTAACACTCAGATATGTGCAAAGGATTTAATTGGATTATTAACTTGCAGAGAATATCACATAATCAATATAATTCACATTCCATATATCCAAGTTGCAATTTTATATTCCATTTAGCATTTGTATCTTCGATTTAAACCTGTGTTATGATTGTTTTTTTTTATATTTATTGCGTGTGTTGTAATAATATGGATAAATGTCTGATGATTTTTTAAACTGACAAGAAACGTTTGTATACTACGGGTAAGCGGATTACGTTAAAATCGAAATTCAGAAAATAAAGGCACTGAAATTTGAGTTCGGAAATATATCGAGCGCACTATTCGCGCTCTCTTTCGTATATGATACATATCACATTTAAACATTAATTTTTGCGCGCTCGTCCGCGAGATACAATTAACAGATAAAACATTAATGGATATACATTAAGCGCGTGAACAGCGAATATCTACAGAGCTACGTTCGATTTATGTTCCGTCCGATTTATTAGAGTATCGTGCGGTACATTAAAGAAGGTTTACATTCAATCTCGCTGTTTATTCGTGTTGTTCGTTCGCATATAATGTATACCTAAATCGAGAGTGATAAGAGTGAGCGATCTTATGTCCTTATTTGTCATAGGGAAGTTGAGGCTCGTCAAAGTTGACTTATAAATTAATTATTCGTCGAAATCGCATTTTAATTCGCGTAACTCGCGTCTTCGGGAAAACACTATGTATTACACACAGTTCCTCGCTTCTCAAGAAACAACCAATTTAATTATTTATAACTAACAATGACAATTATTGTGAACACTGAATAATGTATAATCACAGACGGAGCCTGTGATCCTAGTTATAAATAAACCGCGAAACATGTGATTAACATATAGTTTAAGGTGTAAACCACAGGACTGACGGACTCTACTTATTATTTTATTAGCGCCTAATCGTTTTTTTTTTCACGCGCGGCGAAAAGAACAGGAGGACGACCGATGCGCATTCGGTGTGAATCTTGCTCTTTATCTTTATCTTCTTTTTTTCGTACAAGGCAAAGGTTCGTTAACGCCGCGAATGCTCAGATATTATTGTTATTCGTACAGCCGGTGGAATCTGCTACCCGCATCAGCGTAGAAGGCTACCGGCTGGAGGCTATTATTTTTATACCTTTAATTAACGTTTAATATCGAGAAAGAGCGTGTAAAACCGGCTGCGGCGAAACAGCAGCCTCCCGACCGGATGCTTATTAAAGTGAAGCGCTGTCACTGTATTATACTTTATCTAGTGTCTAGATATATGTCTCTTATCATTATAGAATTATTAATTATTGTTTTACGGATATATATATACACACACCGACACATTTGTATATAGACGACGTCGCGATTTATTTAAATAGCTCTAATGTAAATAAATTATCTATAACAAATCTGCGATAATGTGATCCTATTAATAAAAATGAAATTACCTAAAATGTTTATTTATTTATGTCCAATCATTAATTCTCTTATGCGATTCTGAGAATTTTTGACATTAATATGATTACGAAGAAAAATATTTTGTAGCAAGACGCATATTATATTTCGTCATACGGAAAAATTAAGAAATCAGTTGCAATATTTTTTTATATTTTGCGATTATGGAATCACTACATTATCTGAATTAATATTTATATACGAAAATACGCTGAAATCTTTTATATAATAAAGTACAAGTTTAATTTATTGATAATTTTGATATTAATCTTATTAGATATATATTTTTTTAATTACATGTATAAGCGTTAAGTTTACATGTTGACATGAAAAATTTGTGCCAAAGCTCATTTTCATTAGTCAAGAGCATTACATAAGAATGACGATACTTTTGAGAAAGATGATTAATTTGCGATAATGAGAAAATTTATTTATCAAAATTTTATGCTTTTATTTTATTTATATTTCGTTGAAATGCTGAGAGAATTCAATTCTTTTTCAGTTATGTGATTATAATTAATCAATGATACATTACATTTCCTGTTTCATTATTTGATGAAACTTTTCAAGAGATTTATGTAAGAACGACGATGCTATACTTCCGAGAAAAATTATCTATTTGCGATAATAAGAAAATTCATTTATCAAAATTGTATTCTTTTATTTTATCTATATTTCAGTTGAAATGCTAATAGAACTAAACAATTTGTTTCAGTTATGTGATTACGAGTGATACATTTCCTGTTATTGATGCAGTTGAAATTCCTGGAAATGGGTGTGCGATATTACATTCCAACAATTAATTACTTAGAAAATAAATTGACTCGTTGTAAATTTTTATTAATTTCTAGTAACAGCGACGTTTTTACATTTCCGATTTTGTAAATAATTCTCGTAGACAGTTGAATAAAAATGTATAATAATTTTATTATTTGTGCTGCATGCGTAATGCGGCAGCTGCAAGATATTTCAAATTAATAACAAAATAGAGAGTAGCCAAGGCAATATTATATAATATACGAAGAATTGTGCCTGGAGCAGTAATCGTCCAACAATGTTATTGTAGAAACAACAATTATATTCCACAATACCAGTCGAGCTCAATGCGACAATATTATCGCACTGTCGCGTTAAACGGTGAACATTGGTTTATATGCACCGGATGCTTTGTTGCGGAGGAGCATGTAATTATGTGGAAAATGAACTCTTAAAAGACTCCAAGTGTTTTTTAGATATTTAAAATCCTGATTGACATTCATACGCAGAAACCTGCCCAAGGAAACATTCTAAGAAACATTTTCTCATGCAGGCATATATAGCACTTCAGCTTCGGCTTCTCTATCCAGTTTCAGAGAATGCAACCGATTTCAGTTGATTAGTCGATATCGAGAAAACTTCGTATTTCTCGAATGCAAATGTCAAATTCGAGATTATCAAATAATTGTCAGTTTGTAATAAAATATAATTGTCTTTCAAACGCGGTTTTTTTTCGACGATCAAGTGCGCGCATTTTTGCTGAATTAAACACCGTCCCCGTTAAACGGTTCTCTGTACTGGAAAAGGTGTTAATAACTTGGAACGTCCTGCAAACAAGGTTAATAGGTAATTTATCAGTCATCGGTTCGCCGAGAGCATCCGCGAGCGAGAGATCCGGATGCTTCGCATAATCGAAGAGAAGAGATCCAGCGAAGGCGGAGGACCTTGTGGAGTTCTAGGCAACGCGCGATATGATCGACAAGTGAGACGACTCAAGAGGCCTCGTCACGTGTTAAGATGTATTTCGTAGTATCTACATTCTCCATTTATAATGACAGATCCGACATCTCAATGAAGCAAAATGCAGTAGACAGCGAAGCTGATCGGCGGATTCCAGAAGGGGAATACGATCCTTTCGCCGATCGTCCGTCTGCACCTCTGACCTCGTATGTGTTTTATATTTTTTTCTACTGTCATTGAGTTTCTAATTTGCAATTTTTATTGATTCATTCATTCGATATTAATTTTATAATTAAAATTACTATAAAATGGTACATTTTTAGAATTAAATTTAATTATAAAAACACGCTGCGATGAAATGAAAAAAAAGAACTATGATTCCAAGTAATATGTCTTTTGACAATTTTACCACAATAATGTATTCGATATTAAACGCTATACAAATTAATGAGAAATTTTCCATTAAAATTGAATATAATATTTACATACACACGGAGAGAGAATTTTCTCTTAGAATTTACCCTGAAAATCATGGTAATCGTGGGACAATATGATGTTGGAAGAATTTTATAAGAGTTTCTCTAATTAAATATTTACCACAGTAAAAAGATGTACATAATAAAACTAATCAAACATATTTTATATCTTATTATGGTAGATTATTAATATTTTTTGTTAATATCTTATAAAATTCTTCCAATACCGCATATTGTCCCATGATTACCATAACTTTTAGGGTAAATTTTAAGGGAAACTTCTCTTTCTCTCTGTGTATCTATATAAATATAATAAATTAATATATATATATATATATATATATATATATAATATTAATATATTTATATTATTTTGTATATTTTTTATGTTACAGTCTCACAGCAGAGAGCGATATCAATTATATTCTTAAAAAACGCACAATTATAAAAGAATTTTGCTATATAAACTATATGATACTAAAGTTTATATATTTGATATAAATTTAAAATATAATAAGACATTATTGTGGTAAAATGTCAAAAGACATATTACTTGGAATCATAGTTCTTTTTTTTTCATTTCATCGCAGCGTGTTTTTATAATTAAATTTAATTCTAAAAAATGTACCATTTTATAGTAATTTTAATTACTAAAATGTGGATAACGTATTATGATCAGACATGTCAAATATATAGTCGTCGAATAGTCATGTTAAATTACGTGAAAAAATGTTTATCAGATCTCGTGAAACTAACAATAAGTTAATAACGAGTTTGTTCGAACAATTAAGTATATATTATCTTATTTGTACAATCGCGTATTTATTATCAAGATATCGTCAAATAAACAGGAAGATTGTACTCGTAATATTTATAATAAAAACCATTGAATCGATATAAAAATTGTTTGCAGAGATTTTGCCGCTTTCTTTCATCTGCTCAAGTGCGCGATCGGCACCGGTATACTGTTCCTACCCCACGCTTTCAGAAGAACCGGCTATGTGATGTCCATCATTTGCAGCATCGTCGTCGGTGCATTGTGCACTCACACGGCCGTGATCGTCGTACGTGAGATAACGTGGAAGGCAAAACTTTTTATTTCGAAATTTTATCGCTAATACAGAACGCGATGACAATAATTAGCAAGAAGGAGGTAAAAGGAAACTTCTCTTTCTTTCTCTCTTTTTTTCTCTCCTTTTTTTTTCTTTCTCATTTATGACACCTGCCCTTTCTACCATGACTCAATTGTTTGCGCATCGCCGATGAGATAATCCGATATCAGAGGGAAAGGAAGTTCCTCTCGCATCTCCGAACGCATCAGGCAGGCTCTCTCTTCGGTGTACAGGTGCAGTGCTCTCAGGCGTTATGCAGGCGCAATCGCGTGCCCATGCTGGACCTCGCCGAAACGGCGCAGTTCTCCTTCCAAACAGGTCCGGAGAGGATTCGAAAGTACGCCAGGCTATTCGGCGTAGTTACCAACGTCATCATTTGCTTCGTACACTTTCAGGCCGCGGTGATATACATCTTATACGTGGCCACGTCGTTCCAGCAGGTATAACAACGTCGTGATTCTCAATCGGGATGAAACTGTAAAACGCGACGTTTTCATATGCAATTTTTATACGAGTGAACAATTTGACGTTTAACTCGCGGTACAGCCGATCCCGATTTTAAAGATAAAGTCTTTAACGAAATTAATCAACTTGTTTATTTCTTTATGGGAATAAAAAATTATTGCTCGTCATATTTTTTTCAATCGAAGAAGGTTTAATTAAAATTTCTTTCTTCGAGGTCAAAGATGTGTTAGAATATATGAAATCTTATATTAGACTTTTATATAGATTGACAAATTATCTGCGTTATCTGCGTTTTTTATTATTGCAAAAACAAGATTGCAAAACTGGAAAAATACCTAAGAAGCCGCGATATCTATGAGACATCGCGATGATATTTGCGTTACTTTTTCATTCGGTGAAGAGTTTTTTTCACAATATATATCTCGCAGATATCGGATTTGAAGACAACAACTTATTATACGTTCCGCTCCGATATTTCCAGGTGATCGAATTTTTCACGAGCCTGGAGATGAACCCACGAATTTACATCGTCATCTTTTTCCCCTTCACATGTGCCCTGGGTTTCGTGCCGAATCTGAAATATCTGGCGCCGTTCTCCGTCATCGGGACTCTTTTCTTGGGCCTCGGTGTCTGCATCGCGTTCTATTATTTCTTCGGCGACATTCCCGATCCTGGTAGACTGAACGCTTTCACGGAGATTCTACCTGTGCCCATGTACTGCGCTATTTTTCTATTCGCCTTGCACAATATGACCCTCTATCTACCATTGGAGAACACGATGAGGCATCCCAATCATATGCCGCGCTTAATCGTTGCCAGCACGTTCCTGAACACCGTTATATACCTGACTTTTGGTTTCTTCGGCTACAACAAGTACCCGAATGCCTGCGACACCGTAATCAAGAACTTGCCGATAGCGGACACGTAGGTCTATTAATTTTCTTTGCCTCGCAAACTGCTCGCGTTGCCGTTTATTCGCATTTTATTGATAATTCATATCGATTACGATATCGAGTATAATTAATTTGATTGATCAATTTAAATTTTTCGGTTGGGCAACCTGTATCTGCTCTCTTTACGGACCCCATTCGTAAATGGGATTTATTTAGAGAAGTTACGTCATCGCGAACTTTTTTCGCAGAGAAATTCATCGTTCGTTAAAAATGGCAAATAAATCGTTACCGAAGGCAATTAAATTGTATATATCACCGTTCGACGATCGACAAATATATGCCGACTGTCTCTTTGAGATGACAGCTGTATAATTAATAGCGTGTAACCGGTGTGAGCCAGTGATCACCAAACAGGATACGCTTAACATTTGCGTGGTCGTGCGTACGTATATGTATATCTCGACGCGTGTTTAGTATTCTCAATTTATTTCATACGTTTTGTATACTTTGTAAAGTCGTATAATAATACACGATATACATACATATATACCTGTGGCGAGTCCTTCAAATAAATTCAGAAATTTAACAAAAGCAGAATCAGCGAACCGTACAAAAGAATTACGCGTGCATACAATTGTGAGAGTTTCAGTTTCGTCAACCAGAAGGTCTGACATAAACTCAATACTGATTTATCAAATTACTAATGGACATTGAATCTTGATAATGTAAAAATTCGATCTGACAAGTCCATTTTTCTAGGAACCATTTGATCGCTTTGTAAGCATCGATCGCGATTTCGATCTTTTCGTTATTAAATTGTTCACACACACTTATCTACAAGCAACGAGAGATACAATTTTTTTAACATGATATAACTCATCGTATAATTTCGTCATCAAAATTATTTTCCTTGATTTAATTACAAATTAATCAAGTAAAACTTGCGCGTATTTCTTCCTTCCTTTAAATTATATTTTTATATTTCAATTATATAATTTCAATGTATAATAGTACATATATGTAGACTATATTATGGTGTAATTACATATAATTATATACACTACAATTGCTTATTTTTATTTAAATTATAAACACAAGCCTTCAGTTGTAACACAGTCAATTCTATTTAAACGTCAATCAATCCCTGTCTTTTGATACACGATAATAATCCGCGCTGTGAAATTGTGTATCGTTTGAATGTACCTTTCAGACGAATCAAAATATTGCTCTTCACGATAATAATTCATATCGCAGACACAGGTTTGAAAATTCCAATTCATGGCCATTATCACCTTCCACACTCTCATAATATATACTTGTCTTGCAGCCTGGCTCAGATAGTCAAGATAGCCATTTCCTTATCGGTACTGTTTACTTTGGGTCTGGCGTATTACGTCCCGATCAGCGTGCTGTGGCCGATGATCCGTGCGAGAATCGCCAGCAAGAGCAGGCTGTATCATCGGCTGTACGAAACCTCGCTCCGGTTCGGTGGCGTAATCGGAACCAGTAAGCATGTCACGATACGACACGAATGTTGAATGTAATAAGCCCAGGAAGTAAGTTGTCCTTGTCCGGTCCCGCAGCGCTGCTGGCCGTCGCCGTACCCCAAATGGTACCTTTACTGGGCCTGTTGTCCGCCTTGGGCATGTCGACAATCATGCTGCTGATACCCATACTAATCGAAACGTCGACCAAGTGGGCGGACGCCACGAGGCCGATGTTCGCGAAGAACGTTGTTATTTTCGTCGTCTGGCTGCTGATCCTGGTGCGATTCTTCTCCGAAATAATAGCCGGGAATGAAACGCGAAAGAATAATATAATCTCGCAAAAGGTTCCACGGGACCTTGAAATTTACATAATTCCCCGTTAAATTTCTCTATTTTAGTCATTAGAATTAATTCGTTTTTGTTTTTCAAGTTTTTACCGAGTCTATTTTACATCTCCAAACTCTTCGAAAACAATTTATCAATTATTTCTGGGATTTTAATTAATCGATATCGTGTCAGATTATTGGTCGTATATAAATATAATTACTTTTTATTTGAAATATCAAATTCATTTTTGATACACGTAATGTCTGGGTGATATAATATATGTTTCTTTTCAGATTTTCGGGGCGATAGAAAGCATATGGTCAATTGTTAGAGAATATACAGGAACGAAGCAAGAAGAATGCTGATCGATAAATCGGCAATCAACTACTTAATAGGCTTTCAATGCAAAATTATGAAGATGCTGCTGTGTTACGCCAAGTTATTGGAATATCGAGAATGCGAAGAGCCACGTAACAAGCTATAGAAATAAGTCAAGCACAGAAGTTCAACACAGCAAAGCGAAAGGATGAAGCGAATAAAATATACCGAAGACTATTTATTTCTTCTTGACTGGACTGACTGGTCTGCGCCGCCTGATTTGTGTGAAAAGAAATATCTTTTGCACTCATCAATTTGTTTTTACGAGACAAGAATACAGATATCGGTTTGAATTACGCTTTTCTTCAATTTCGCTGCTTAAGCGTTCGGAACAAGCTTGATTGATATGGATATCGACGCTCTTTAAGTCCCGTAAAGACCGAAACGTGGCATTTGCAACATTCCGACGGGACACCTTCAATTTCCCTCGGCCAACGTTTACGTAAGACACGTGACAAGACGGAGTTGCGCCGTTTGCAACGTGGAAACAAGAGCGGCACAGCCTACAATGAGAAACTGCATCAGAGTGCAGCAATCAGAGATCAGGAGAGAGAGAAGGTGGGAGACTGTCGGAGACCTTCTTGCAAGGAGACGAAAGAGAGACGCCGAAAGAGCTCGTCCTGTTAATGGAAGGAGACGAGGATAAGGTGAAAGGGAACTTATACGAGATTCGCAGAGGCGCGAATCGAGGAGGAGCTGATCGCAGTCGAACAACCAACGTCCCTAAATCCGTGTATACGAGTAGAAGTCAACTACTCGACGTAGTTCTCTTCAGGAATCGGAAGTGTGTCGACGGTCTTTGATTCGAGCGGCTCTGTCGGTTTTTCTTTTCTTCGTCGATTTTAACATGTCAAAATGTTAATTGATTGATTACGCGGGTGTGCCAATGCTTGAGGGAGGATAAATGAGAAACGGAAACGTTTCCGCGAGTATTAGGTGAAGAAAAAGAAATGATTATTCCATTCGTCGAATCGTCGAAATTTGGATCAATATTTTTTTTTTAAATCTGAATGTTACTTTGCTAATCAAATTTAGTCTCTATTTACAGAAGATCTGTAAATTAAACTTTATTTCATTCTTATTCATTATATAATTTTTCTATTTTATATAAAAATTCGAATTTTGACAGCGGTTCTGTAAACAAAATATGACTTAAACAGCCGCTATCTTTTTAAAATTTGTATCTTATATATTATGAAGGATACTTGAGAATTTTTCACGTGACAATGACAAATGACATTTATTTTCTTTCCAACATACACGAATAATCGATTGTTATGCGGGCATCAATTTTTTTTTATACATATACGCACACGCAAAATTATTAATAATTTCTAATAATTATAGAAAATACTGATAAATGTCAATTCGTCGAGATTACACTGGCTATAATTTCTCCACACACTGTTTATCGTCCGTACTCCAAAGTAACGTTCAATCGGGCCCATTACAGACCGTCACTATCTACTCCCTCCTTTCCTGGTGTATACGCACGAGCGAGGAAGCTTATGCTCAGGTAGTCACTCACGTGCACATTGACTGTTCGTATATATAAACCTGGCTAACTCCGAAGAAACTTGCCCAGTCGTGTGCGGTCTGTCACCATTCCGCTACAATATCATCGCCTTCGTCCCGTTACCTCGTTGTCGGCCCATCAGTACATCGGACAAGGGAACCTGACACATCCCGCAGAAAACGATCCCGGTTATTCATCAATTATCCTGTGCCAATCTATTCGATTTACCTGAACACCGGATGGAGAGAAGTCATCAATTTCCGGATGATGATTACCGATGAATCCATCCATCATCCGAAGAAGAAGATCCAGAAATATCACCGTAGAGGAAATATTAACGACATAATTCTCAACGGTATTTAAAAATATTATGCACCAAATGAGTTGTCGCCAAAATCGAAATTTTCTATAATAAAGGACTCTACGACTTTCCATCGTCATCGAGGAGAAATCTATCTGATCGTCATCTAGCAGCACAAAACACCGTGCGATATCTTTGAATTATCTCATTTCCGACACGAGAAATCGCGCAGAATCGCGACATCGAGAATAAACAGTGGCGAGTCATTAATCGTCGTCATCGTCGGGAAAGATCATCCGGTCATTGTCATTTTGCGTAATTGTGACATGTGCCGGATGTCGGAAATTTTATTTGCTTGGATTTTGCCGGATATCTCATAAATCGTACCTGGAGATATGTCTGCTGATCGCTTTATATTCCGGAGATAAATCATTTTATCTGTATTATAAATCTAATTTTATACATATAATAAAAAAAGGAACCAAAAGAAGACGAAACCTTGACTAAGAACGTATGGTTTCGATACGTAGGCAAACAATTTGCGTTTCACGAAAAGTGGGAAAGAGAGAAAGAGATAGAAAGAAAATAAAGGAATTTAGAAAAACGAGAGAAAATAAACAATTGTATTTAAATTAAATATAGAATTAAACGCAAGAACATCGAAGCATAACAATGTAAATTGGGAGCATTTAATGTTCTTCAACATCGTCTTGAGAAAGAAATTCAAATCTTTGTGATATCGAGAGTATTGTTCAACATATCTACGTCGTAACACACAAGAGTAAGTACGATTTTAGTATGTAAGGTCACGTTACGTTCGTTATACGAGTATTTCAAATTTATGTGTGGTCCCTAATCTTTAATTTATGAATTACAAAAGAGATTTGTCTAATTTGAGAAAGTCATTCTATAAATATATCGATAAAGATTCTCTCTCCTGTGTAACTTGCAAATGGTTTATTTAAAGAATAATCGACTTGGAATAATGTATATATTATTCTTCGTTGATAAGTTCAATTAATATAGTGTATAAAATAATAAGCATATAAAAGAGTGACATAATAAATGTCACGCTCCTGTTTCCGAATAACAATTTGTCGAATAATTTCTTAAGTGTAGAATAATTTTCAATATATAAAACAAATATGCAAATATTCTATTCTAATGACACGTATAATTTATTTAGGATGCTCTATCGAATTTTTAATATAAGAAAATTTTAATGGCAAACTATACCAAAAGGTTTTAATTGGGTTATAATTGACACACAAATATTTTTGTATAAATGTAAAATCAGCTAGAACTTAATTTAAAAAATAGTTTTAAAGTTTTATATATATATATATATATATATATATATATATATATGCATATATATTTGATAAAATTAATTTATACAATTTTAATTTTAATTAGTTATCTCTGATTTACAACTCAACAGTTTTTGCAAATTAGACATTAGATATATTTTTCATTATATAGAAAAGTATTAAAAGTCAATTCCAGATTTATCGAAGAATTTGTCATTTCAATTAGATGTAACAAAAAATTATGGTATACATAAATACTACTTATATAAATATTACTATACTACATATTAGAATCATGACTATAAACATCGTGTGCTAATATTTGCAAAGAGATTAAATTAACGCGCGGTAGTTAATCCGTCTGCAAATGAATGTTCGTATTACGACAGGGATAAGAAAGAGTACGGATTTACGATATAACAGAGAATTGAGTGATAACAACTTCTATAGGTGATTACCCTGATAAGTACAAGATTAACAGCGATTTAGCTTTACTCGACGTATGCTTATACACTTTTGCATTAGCATGCGGTGAATGATCAATCCAATAAAAATTAAAGTCGTGTTAATTATTTTTTGGATTAAATAATTGAAATAATATTTAGATAACATTTAGATAATATCCAATGATCCCTGAAAAGTACAAGATTAACAGAGATTTAGTTTTACTCGACGTATGCTTATACACTTTTGCATTAGCATGCGGTGAATGATCAATCCGATAAAAATTAAAGTCGTGTTAATTATTTTTCGGATTAAATAATTGAAATAATATTTAGATAACATTTAGATAATATCCAATAACATTTTATAGATCTCTTAGTTTAATGCTGATGGATATATTTGATACAGGAAAGTTTCGTAATATTAGGAGTAATATTATTATCCTTTGTGTAATTAGTCCTAATTTGTGAAAGTTAGAAAGTTTCAACTTTCAGATACCTTAATTTTTTTGCTATAAGCAAAAATAGTAGAAAATAAAAATAGCATCCTTTATAATAATACGATCTCTTTTAACGAGAGACAACGATCGTTTACTATAGCAACGCGTGCTTATTACACAAGTAATTATTCGTTAAATAATTAATTCTTTAATAGAGAATGCAAGATATCAAACTATATTTACAGGGGTTTATGATTCATAGAAAAAAATGCAAATGATACAAAAGTTAAACATGTAGTCTGTTCAGTAAAACATATATATTATTTAAAATTCTTTCAAAATTACGCTTCAAGAGTAATAACATTTACTAATCCACTCAACTCTTGATTTATAATTTAACTGTCTCTTCTACAAATTAATCTTTCTTTCGTGGAAATTAATTTACTAATTAAATTATAAAGAATTTATATATAGATGATAAAATTCACTCACGTTCTCCTTTTATATATCTTGGTATGACTCATGCAGATAAAAATATTAATACAACTTTTTGCACAGAAGAGAAAAATATTTTCTTTTTATTTTCCATCATTTTATTAATATGCAGTTATTTTATTAATATAAAGTTAAATGAATTATAATTAATTATAACAGTTGTATATATCTTTTAATAAATTAAATATTTCCTTTCTCTATAACTATTAAATTAATCAATAAAAAAAGAAGATTTATATATATTTATCGTGGATTTTTAATTATTATAATTCTAAATTTCCCTATAACTTTTGTTATTTTTTCATATAAAATTTTGCTTGTGCAATTTGTAGACATTAATTACAAGTCTAAATCTCCTCTTTGCATTATTCTCGGTATTGTCCTTTGCGGTTTTCCTATAATGAAATATTTATGAGTATTCTCAAGTTTACGTTTTCTCGATTGTGTGACATTAAAATCTCGCATGTACAGACCGTACTCGTTCAAACGCGATCAAGGATTTCCCAAGGATTTTCAATTACAAATTCATTTGTTATCGCATGTACGATCACAGTGTATTCGTTCGCGTAACGGTGGGACATTTTACCTGCCACTTTTACGTAAAATGGCGAAAGCAGATCAAGTCAATTGGTCGCACTATCGACTGGCTACAATCTCGAGCGCAACAGATTCTCTTGCACAACTCCGCCTTTTTTATTTCCCATTAATTTCTCAAGCGGATTTCAGAGTTTAAATCCAGCGGGTCCGCGAAAAATTTTCGTCATCGTCGAAACAAATAGTGTGCTAGCTTTTATAAAGGCAAATAAATGTCAGAGAAACTTTTGAGAAAATTGGTCAAGGTGAAGCATCATAACTCTGACTTATCAGATACCTATTGCGTATACATACATCGTATCTATGTTTTTTTACATAACTGATTATTTCTGCCGATATAATAAGCACGCATCAAATTGCTCTGTTCGTTACGTGTTTTTTTTCACACTTGAATTTGTCATTGTTTTTAATAGAATCGATAACTTGGTAAATCAAGCCATTTAAATAAAAATTAATAACTAGCTGTAATTGAATATTTCTAATATCGTATATTTTGTTTATTATTTTTATACTACAAATTTTTATATTCTGATCACATATAATTATTAATTAATTATTAATTATTCTGCTTATCGATATTGTTTCAATTTGTTTGAAGTAACTCTTAAATAAAAAATGATATAAAGATTAATCTATAAGACTTTGTTGAAAAAGTGCTAATCTTATCAAGAATTAATTTCTAAGAGATTCACTTGAGTGTCTTTCAATATTGACATTTAAAACTACCAAGAGCAAAAAGATGAATCAATTTACACAATCTCAAAATGAAGCTTATACTAACTTTATCGGATTTCTTTTTCGCGATTCACGTTATTATAGACATTCGCGAGTGTAGGAACTTAATCAACGTATCGCGGATGATGTCAGTAGATAATTGCGCAAAAAAGCTGCTCTTAAAATAATAATTATAATTAACATATTTGTTTTTATTCCTTTTGCACGGATTGCTACATTGATTTACATCAGCAAAAAACTCACGATCAATCTGTTTTATTTTTTAGCTGTCGATATATTCTATATTTATGCTTAAATGTCAGTGAGAATCTTTATGTTTCCAAACAGCATGACTACATGCTTGACTCGTTAATGCTTATCAGATGCATGTGATTTGATGCATTGACGATTCACGTTGTTTTTAATTACGAGATCAGATAAAGTTCGATAGAGTTGAAAATGTAGTAAATATTGAAAATAATATTCAATATCACTAATCATTTTTTTAACAACTCAATGTGTCTATCTATGTAAGAAAATGAGAATAACCATTTTTTTATTCACGTAAAAGAGCTAGAAAATATTAATTAAAAATTATATATTAATTATCCTAATAACATATTTTTAAATAATAAGCATTTGTAATAATGAATTTCTATATATTATATATCATATAATATTTAGTTATTTTAAGACTAAATTGTTGTGATTTTCATATAAAATTGTTGTTTTTAGAAAAACCATGGGTCGAATAGAGAAAGAGGAATCGGCTACTGATATGAAGGAGTTCAGCAGCAGGTACTTTCGTCATATCATTAATATGATTATATTCGATACCGTTATCAATATATTGCTTTATATATACATCAATCAAACATTGATTAAAAAGTAAATGACGTTGCAAAAAAAATTTCGATACTGATACTTGCTAAAATCATGCAAATCATGATTACTACAGACAAGATTGACTTTCTTAAGAATAGTCATCGTTTCATTGTTTTTGATAAACGTCAATTGTAGATAACAAAATTTTTTTATACGCAGTGTCTGTAAAAGTAATCGTTATTGATCGATGATGATCATGGAATGCGATCATATCGCGTTTGCACGAAGATAAGAAATACTTTGTATAAAATTGGTTTTTCTCTCTACAATATTCTTTTCAATGTCTCAATTTTTGATTATTAAACTTGGGAAACAGCGTAATATTGCAAATATTCACCGGAAATATCCTTCTTCGAATTATGTGTCATCATGTATAATTATAGGTATCGTACTTTATAACGCGTATATTGAGCGCCCAAAAAAAATTATGTAACAACGAAACAAAAATATCTTCTAGAAATCGAATATCTTTGCATAAATATTTCCATGTTTATATGAAAAATATTATTAAAATATAATTAAAATATTATAAAAATTTGAGATTAAAAATATTGTAAAAAAATAAAAAACGAGAAGATATGCTACTTGTTAAATTTAATTAATCTTGACATGGTACTGCAAATAAAAAAATGTCAGAAAGATTAGAAATATCTCTCTCGCTAAATTAATCTTCATAATTTGTTGTTTTTCCAGTTATCTTTATTATCTCGTTATTTATTAAACTTAATTAATTATTTATTAAAATTATTTTATTAAAGCGTTGTCTTTTTAATATTTCTAATTTTATTTTCTATTTCCCATGTTTAGCACAAAAATAGCTCCGACCGTTATTGGCGAATACAAAGAAAAAGATGAACTGTACGATCCTTTCGAGCATCGTGATAAGCGGAATGCGACCTCGTAAGTTTCATTCTAGAGTCTTTATCAAGTTAATGTATATGTATTTATACTTTTCCTGATAATACAATACTGTGCATTGCGCAGCATTTTTTAAGACTCAAAATATACCATAGATTACGATATACTGCGTATATATTAACGCAAAAATACAAACTGACCGTTTAATCTTAAGAATAAGGATATTATTGTTCTTTGATTATCAGTACAAATATAAATTTGCAGTGTCCAATATTGTTGCGATAAAAAATGGTTTGATGATCTTGATAATAATGACCATGTATTTATTCATAAAGATTATTCATTTAGAATGACAAGAAAAAATTCTCAAAAGAATTTCATGTAAATAATTATTTTCAAAATAATTTTTCCCATAAATCATCACAAATATATTTCGAATTCTAATTAACAAAATATATATAATTTTTTATATTGCTATTTTTTTATACTTGTTCCGAAACGAGATAAATTTGAATAAAATTTCTATGAAATATGATTAATATCAGCTTTTGATCACGTGTTTCAGGGATCTAGGCGCCGCGACGCATCTCCTAAAATCCTCTTTAGGAACGGGAATCCTGGCCATGCCCTACGCGATAATGAACGGAGGGCTGCTGTTCGGCGGAATCGGCACGATTATAATCGGCATCATTTGTGCCCATTGTGTGCACATATTGGTGCGTACGTCCCACATACTCTGCCGGCGCACCAAGACCCCGCAGATGACATATGCCGAGACTGCGTACGCGGCCTTTTACTGCGGACCCAAATCGATCAGGCCCTTTGCGAACGCCAGCAAAATATTCGTGAATTGTGCGCTATGCGCGACGTACGTAGGCGGTACGTGTGTCTACGTCGTGTTCATTGCCACGTCCCTTAAGCAGGTACGCACTTTGCATAACTTATTATGATTGCATGATACCGGCCTTGTTGATAATCAGATGTGAATGCACAGTGAATGTAGCTTTTATCGGCACATTTTAGAACCTTACTATTATTTAAAATTTAATATAATATATGTACACATTAAAACAAAATTTCTTAACTCGACTAAATCGTTAAATTAAATATTATTTTGTTAATTGAACATATAGAAATATTTACATTAAATATTATTAAAACTCTAATAAAACGTATATATATTTGACTTAAATACCAAGATATGTTTAATTAACAAAATAGTAATTTAGTTGAATGGTTTAGTCAAGTTAACAATTTTTTTTCAGTGTATAAAAGTTAAAATTTTTCTAATAATTAGAAGTTTTTGAATTATTTACCAATATTAATTATTATAATTTTTTTCATTACTCTTTATAAATACTAAGCAATCTAATGATTCGCGATTTTTATAGTTTGTGCAATATCGAATGAATGATTTTGCTATATATAATGATTATTGCATTTTATAATTAAAGTTAAAACATTATTAATAAAATAAAATCTATGATAAATTAAAAATCCATTAAAATGATAAATGATATGAAATTAAAAATCTATGATAACATAGCGATAACATAATTGTTGTCCAGATACAGTCATTGCTCAGTTAGATCACTGTTATGTAATTACAAAAAATTTTGTTTACTAACTCATGATTGATTACGTTTAACAAATTTTCTAATTACTTTCAACTATCTAATCAAAAAATGATTTATTTAATGTTCTTTAGATTATTCAAACATAATTCATCTTCGTATTTTTGAAAAGAAATCAATTCAAATTACAATAATGACTACAAATATTTAAAAACTCTGCAATTAATTTTGAAAGTCTATAAATTCAAAAATAGAAAATATTAAATATTTCATTACTTAGATTTTAAACGATATATTATTTTAATAAAAAGACATAAGAGAAAAAAAATAATTCTTGTTGCATCGGAAGGAATGATTTAATTTATCCTCTTTTTATGGGCAAACGAGTGCCTTTTCCCTCTGCGAAACTATGCCGCGATCTTGCCTCGAGTCCTTCCATAAATCGCGCGATCGATCTTTCCTGCCACCGCGCAGTGCATCTCGTTTTCTCTCACCAGGTCACCGATTTCCACACCGGGAAGGACATAGATGTACGCTTGTACATCCTCTCGCTGATCCCGGCATTGATCCTGCTCGGCCAGGTGCGCAATCTGAAGTACTTGGTGCCGTTCTCGATGCTGGCCAACATCTTCATGTTCAGCGGCTTCGCGATCACGCTCTACTACATCTTCAGCAACGTCCAGTCGATCGAACACGTTAAGTTGTTCTCGTCGGTCGAGAAGCTGCCCCGTTTCTTCGCGACTGTGATATTCGCCATCGAAGGTATCGGCGTTGTAAGTTCCACGTTGTCAATGTATTACATCGCATTTTCTTTCAACTTCATCTTCCGCATTCTTAAATCACCGGTTCATGATCGCGATAACAGGTGATGCCTGTGGCGAACAACATGAAGACGCCGCAGCACTTTCTGGGATGTCCTAGCGTACTCAACGTCACGATGACATTAGTGGTGGCCCTGTACGCGGTGATGGGAGTGTTTGGGTATCTCACATACGGCGAGTCAGCCAAGTCCAGCATCACGTTAAACCTACCCACCGATGAAATGTGAGTTATTGGATCATATGTCTCTTTCTTGGATGTTTTTTTATCCGTGACATGCCGTTCACTGACGAAGGACGAATATGTTTCAGTCTGGCTCAAGTGGTGAAGCTTCTCATCGCCGCGGCTGTCCTCTTTACGTACGGATTACAGTTCTTCGTACCCCTCGAGATCATATGCAACTCCGTTAGGCACTTGTTCAGCCACAGATTCGCGACCATCGGTGAAACGTTAGTGAGGATGGGAATAGTTATGCTAACAGGTAATGTTCCATATTTGAAAATTTTACGCTAATTTTCCAATTTATTCGTAGTTGAAATTCAATAGCATAATTATTGCGATAAGCTTGGTCTGATTAAGCAAATAATTAGAATTTATGCTTGCTAATGCAGAAATTTTTAGCAGAATTTATAGACTTCGATGATAATATATCTATACAGGGTGTATCTATAAATAAGTGCGAAAATTTTTAGATGATCCTCTCTCTTTGTCGAAAATTAAGGGGGATTTCTTATATATAAACATATCCCTCCCTTAAGTTACACTTTTCTGAAAAGGGAGGTAAAAATTAAGTTTTTATTTTTTCTCTCAAATTTTAGACAAATTAAGAAAATAAAACGAAAAATATCTATTAAGTTTTATTTCTTAATTTGTCTGAAATTTAATATATAACAGTACATGTTTACATAAGAAACCTCCTTTAATTTTCGACAAAGAATCATTTCCTAAAATTTTTTGCGCTTATTTAAATACACTCTATATATGAAATAAATGATAGTTATTGAAATTAGGTACAAATAACTGATTCCAAGCACAGGTAATTTTCTGCGCGATTCAGAAAAATAATTCGACACGAAATGACACGATTGTTTTTAAAATCGTATGACTCAAGTTGCCTACAACATTTGATGACTCGATCTTCTTTCATATCCATAAATGGATCTAGGAAGATGTTAGAGATTTAGAAAAAAAGCTAAACTTGATTTTTTATCTCAGATTTATCTTAAAATTGTTTTCTTCGCGTTGAACATTTTTTGGTGGTATATTTTATTATTGATGGTAATATATTTTTAATTTTTATTTGATTATTGATTAATTTATGATTATTTTGTTATATGAGATACAGTGTTTCTGTCATTAGTCAAGAAATAATATTTAAAGAGGTGAATTTTTAAATGTTCAACGCGCTTAAGAAATTTAAAATGCTGCGTTCTTGTAATCTTATTTGATTAAATTCTTGTCACAAACTTTACCTTCCTATCATCGCGATAATATTATATATATCGCGGTCGCAAGGTTCTCATAGCGGTAGAATTTTTTTGTCCCTGGCGACGATGTTTTAGTGATCGCGAGACAGAGAAACCGCTATCAAACCATGATGGTTCACGTGTTCCCGGTAGAAGATCGATCGAATCTCCGATCGAACAGAAATGGTGTCACCCACTTATTCGTATACGCGCGATACATTTTTTGTTACCAAATACACCGAGAAAGAAAGGAATCGCCTACCTTGTCTGTTGTCTTCTCAGCTCGGGTCAGTTCGCAGTAGACTTAATCCAGTTCGCGTTTGCTTCCGATATGATTTCTCATCGCTTCGTCGCGAATTTTTTTTCGCCCATTATGTCGAGTCCAGTAGGTCATGAATGATGTTAGATGCCTAAATATCGAAAAAAATATGCAACTTATTTTTAATTCATCCAAATAAATAGCTTCCTCATTAATTTTATTGAATGATACATATATTATTATAATGAAACTGATGTATTATAAAAGTATTGCTATAAAAATGCGTTGATTAGCAATAGGGCAGTTTTTAGAAAATTAAGAATTATTTTATATATGCAATTCCAATGTAAATATAATTTTTTTATTCGGTTACAAGATGATACCGATATACTTACGATATATATTTGCAGTGGTCGTAGCGTTGCTGGTGCCGACGCTGGACCCGTTCATCTCTCTAGTCGGCGCAATTTTCTTCTCCATCCTCGGCGTCAGCATCCCAGCTATCATCGAAACGATCTCGTGCTGGGAAAATCATTTAGGCATCTTTCGATGGCGTCTATTTAAAAATGGCTTTCTACTTATATTTTCGCTCTTAGCGTTAGGATTTGGTTCATGGACTTCAGCACAAGATATAATAGAGTTTTATAGTAAAGAATAATAAAAAATAAAAAATAAATTTTATTTATATAGGTAGATTGAAGAGAGAAATTTTTTTCTCAATTTTCCTCATTTAAAATTGCGGTATCGATCAAAAAACAATGCAAGATTTTTCGAAACATTAGCTACTCAATGCTTTTTATATGTTAAATAATGTGCAAACTAATTGATATTTTGCACCGTCGAGTTGACTATAAATTGTCTTTTGAATTTGCATACTCGATCGTCAACGAAATTGTAGAAATTGGAGTAAGAAAGTAATCGCTGAATTTGATACGGTTATGCCAGCAATTTTAATGAAATGAACTAAACAATATAAATGTATCAAAAGCAGCATATCTGTGAGATTTTATTATTTCTTTGATTTTATATATTATATACTTTTTGAATTCATGAAATTCTTGGAATTAAATTTTATATTGTTTTCGTTGTGTATATATAAAACAAAGAGAAAAGTTTTATTATATATAGATGTAATCATCGAAAACTTGTCAAAATAATGTTGTAAATAAATAGATATATATATTTTGTACAATTACTATAAGAAACAAAATTTACAATAATATCCGAAAGACGTTCGGAGAACATCCACAGAACATTTTTTTCCCAGAAGATTTTCAGATTTCCTCTGGATATCCTCTGAACGTCTTTTGAATATATATGTTGTGCTGTTATAGCCCTTGTAGAAATTTATCACTATAGTAACGCCAATTAATCACTTATTTCGAGTACTTAAAATACTGATATACAGTAATTTCAGTACTCGAAATAAGTGATAAATTAGCGTTACTAGTGATAAATTTCTATAAGGGAGGTTGCGATAATTGCGCGTACTTTATTTATACAAGATTAATGCATAATTTATAATGTTATAGTTTGAACTTAAACAAAAATGAAAAATATCTCGAATGAAATTATTTGAAAATACCTTCAGCAAGAATCCTCGCCACATTTTTTCCACAATATTATTACTTTTTACTACCGCAATCACTCCGACAATAAAGCGCGAACGTTATGGAAATGCCGCTCCGCAGTTCTGTGCATTAACGTCTGTCGCGCTCGACAGATGGCGCGTCAATAACGCATCAAAGCGTGCCTAGAGTCTCTTTATTCCGAGCGCCATATTCACTTCGGAGACGCCTGTCAACAAAACTCTTTATTACAATTCGTAGAGATATCTTATACAGCGCGATAACTTTATATAAAGTAGAAGTAATATTTGTAACAAATTATTGCTTATTGAAAGCTTGAAATTTCAAGCAAAATAAATGTAATATTCCCGAATTCAAAATTGGCGGGAAAATTGGCGGCTCCGAGGGAGGCCAGCGACTCTAGCTACGTCATCGGGTGGTCGACAGCTACGTTCACACGACAGAGCGGAGTGGGAATGGTTGCGTCTGATTCTTCCGGTCGGGAGGCTGAATTTTCTCGATCAATTCTTCATATTATTCTCTGTATCTAGTTACTCGCGACCCGCGAATATTTACGCCCGCGAGCCTGCGATTCGTGTTCGAGTCGGAATTTTCGTGCCTATCCTCGCAAGTTCTTTCTCCGCGCGAACGCGTGGCCGAAGAGCGGCATAACCTATCTGACAATAGTCGGCCGCCAGGCGTTGTTACGTGTGTTTGTGTGCCACCCGAGACGACACAATGGCAATGAACGAGGATTTCAATTTCGCCGAGCTCTGCAGGCTCTGCTCGTTGAAGAGCAATCACCAGATCCAGATACTCGAGAAGGACGGCGAACAACGACAGCTGATGTTCAAGATACGCTCCTGCATTGCTACCTCGGTATGCACGTAGGAATTTGTGAGATATTGTCCTAAGCAGATAGCTCTCGAATTGAAATTTGTAGAAATATTGCATCATGAGATTTGAAAAAAATCTATGTAAAAAAAGTGCGAATTTTTTCGAAATTAAAAAATTAAAAATCAAAGAAGATTGCTACGTTAGAATTGTTTAAAAGCAGTTTTAATTGCATTGTTTATTTGTACAAGCTTATCTGCATTATGATTTTTAAATTATTCCTACACTGCTCCAATATTAATATTATTAATATACTATTTTATTCTGATTTTATTAATGACTATTTCTCTATAAAATAATAAAACTTATTACTTTTAAAACATTAAAAATTTCTATAAAAACATGTTTGTATTTATAATTATTAAAGTGGTATTTCTTTCATTTCATATTTCATATTAATTTGGAGCTCGAATAAATGCAGAGTCTAGCTAAACAGCTGATTGTTATATAGACTTTTTAACAATTTTTTTTTTTAATTTTTAATTTAGTAGAAATATTTGCTACAGGATGAAAACTGAAATCAGGCTCACAATTTTAATCAATTTTTTTTTCAATCGAAGAAAAAACATTAAATTAATTTTTTGCAGATATCAAAAGAGGATGGATTGCCAAAAAGTATCTGTCAAAGGTGTATCTACAAATTGGATATGTTTTATGAATTTCGTCTCAACTGCATTGCCACAGAGAGTGTGTTGAAGAATTATGCTGATAGTTTAAAGAACATTGCTACACACGATCAGGTAAATCGAAATTTTTTTCTATACAAGAGAAATTTTAAATTATAAGAAACTGAATGATATAATTTATAACAATATGATAAAATGATATATTTATTATTTATTGCTATACGAACACAAATTACAATGAAAAGACTGCATTTAAGTTCGAATTTTGCAAATATCGCTTTTCAATCTGCGAAATGTTTTATTAAAAACAATTAATGCGCTATATAAATTACTCTCGTCAAACACATGTTTCTCTGGTAAAAAAATCGCGCATACCAAATGTAAAAATGACTAAAATTTTTCAGAGAATCTGCTTTCTCGTAGAATGAATGAAATTTACATTTACGAGATCTTTTATTTGGAGTAATTTATTAGGATTGATTAAAGTATTTTATTAGTGCATAAAGTGCACAAGGCTCTTTCGTGATCTCGTAAAAATACGCCATAACATTCATAACTTATTAAAGCGATTTTATACAGATACAGTTTCACGTTTTGTACATTAAAAAGACTTGTTTTTTCTCTCTCTCTCTCTGCCCCTTTCATTTACTTTCTCCTCATAGTAACTTGGTAATTTAGAGAGACATTCAGTATCATTCTATCTTATTTGTGCGATAATTAGCCGCGACTTTTTTAAGAACAGTTAACTTGCGAGTAGAATTAATTAAACATCGAAGAAACCGGCCACGCAGAGAAAGAGCCATCATCAATGGGACGAGAATCGTTAGGCGCATCTATCCTTTTCATTCCATTCCGTACTTCACTTCCGACACCAAGACGAGGACAGGGATGGTCGGATGGGAGAGTACGGATCCAGTTCGAGAAGGGGAGAAGTTTGCGAGAGGGAAGAGAAGAGAAGAGAAGAGACGAGAAGAGAAGAGAAGAGAAGAGAAGAGAAGAGAAGAGAAGAGAAGAGAAGAGAAGAGAAGAGAAGAGAAGAGAAGAGAAGAGAAACGGGCACAGAGGGGCGTTGCTGATCGGTAGCCGGAGGTTCCCGCTGACCTCACGTTCCCTTCCCTGTCTGGTGTACCCCGGCGGCGCGCGATCTCAATAATTCCACCCTCGCGTATGTAACGGAGATGCCGGCGGGGTGGCAAGGAGAGAGAAAGGGAGAGAAAGAGAGAGCGAGAGAGAGGGCGACGTCGCGGCACATCTATTGATCGGCGCGACGCGACCGCGAGTTCGCGTCGCGCGCACAGAAAGCGAAAGTCGTAGCCTATACTTCGTTCTTCCTTCCGTCTCGACTGTTCCTCCCTGGCCCCCTTCCCGTGTCTGCTTCTCGCCAACCCATTTCCCTTTTCCACCTGCCCTGTGCTCTTTCTCTCGTTTACGTCACCTAACGTCCCTCGATTATGTTTCTCATCTCATCCCTACCTTTTTTCTGTATCCTTCAAGAATATGTAATTGCTTCTCTATTGTGCTCTATATGTCATGCGATGCTATTATCTATACGTATTTCTTAGAGGTTTCTTAAGAAAGGCTTGCAATTGCTCAATTATAATTCTGCAATCATGTTGCAGTATCTTTATTAATTTTTTTAAATATTTTTTGCAAGCATAAATGTTATGATTACTCGCACGTTTCGAGAAAGCTTAGTCATAGAGTGATACAAATTCTATACTACTACTGTGCTCTTTATTATACTATAATTCTACTCTTCCTATCCTTTCTCTCTTCGCATCCCCTTCTGCCCTCTCCTTTCACCTCTTCTATCAGTCTCGTATTTTTTCTCTTTCGAACCTGGATCGCCCAGAATCCTCGCTCCTCCATTCCTGCCGATCCTAGGCACAGGTGCAACGTGAGTTGCCCGCGCAACCTCCGAGAAACCTGTTTCGAAAGCCGGGATATCCCGACGATCGACGCACAGCCTCGTTACGTGGGTGACCATTTCTTTCTCTCTCTCTCTCTCTCTCTCTCTCTCTCGGCGGCGACAGCGGCTTGTCGAAGGACGAGGAGGAGATCGCGGCGATGTCCTCGTCGTCCCTGGCGTCTCGCTGCCGTGTGCGCGCGCGCAAATTCTGCTCACCCATCTCCCTCTGTCTCCTCTCGAGTTTCGCCTTCTCTCTTTCGCTCTCTCAATGTCAGTGTCAAGGTCAGCGGGCCGACGCACCGGTCGCCGTCGCCGCCGCTATTGCACACACACAACTCCTCCATGTATTTTGCTCTCGTCGGTGGCTTGTGTAACATATATATGCTGAGAACGAAGGAGCGAGAGAGAAAGTGAACCATATAAGATGTACATGTATATACACCCCTATTGGCACCCTTAGACGACACTCTTACGTCGTCTCCTACCCTTACATCCTCTTCCCACTCTCGTTTGCTCCGATCATTCGCTGTGCATTCCTGGGGGATATTCATCCGGTATATCTTCCAGAGCGGTCCTTCTTTTGGATCTTCGTCGTCCTCACTTCTCTCCCGTTCATTCTTTCCTTCTCCCTCATGCCGCGAAAGTGATACCACACGCATCATCGGTGTATGCATACACGTAAACACACACCTTTCATTCTTCCCCGACTGACCGCCCTTTTTGTGTCTCTCTCTTTCTCTGTTCCTGCCTCCCTCTTTCGATCGTGGTCTCTCCTCGTCGCGTCAGCGTGCCTGTGCGTTCGCCTCCTCTCCGTCGCATCCCCAAACGCGTTCCACGTCAGCCACGGTGCATTCCGCGGGGAACCTCCGCTCGGGATCGTTTGTATCCGCTCCGTTCGTGTGTGTCACCGGCTCTGTCTTACTCCGTTCTCTCTCGTTGTTTCCTCTTTCCACGTCTCCTCGTCATCATCTTCACATACGCATTCTAGCTTATCTCTCTCTCTCTCTCTCTTTCTCTCCCCTCTTTGGAATCCTCTCTCCCTTCACCTGGTTCCGTCTTTCTTTCTTCTCCTCTCGGAGTCCGACAGCGAGGGAGCCGTCTCGCGCTTATCCCCTCCGTGCGCTGTCGGCTGCTTTTTTTCGTCTCTTTGTCCTTGCATCCTCCCGCGCCGGGAATCAACGGCGGCGGCGGCCAGCTTCGCGGGTTCTCTCTCGTGAACAGCCGCGGAATTCCTCCGACGCCTCGCGAAAAACCGCCCAAAAGCGCGTAGGAAGCACGCGCGTGTCAGTGTTGTACAATCGGAGTGCGTCGTCTCTTGTGCGGGTGCATCGTCTCCTGTTCTGGATCCTTGATCCGAAAATGAACGCAAAGTTTCCGTTGTAGTTGCTTCCTGTGAAAATTAACAAAATATCTGAATTGGAAAGCCGTCTGGCTGTCTTGCTCTCTCCGATCGAAGGTATTCCTCTCGATTTCGGAGCTCAACGGTCTCTTTGGAACGTGGACAGGACTCCGATTAGGTATATATATATATGCGCCTCCGAAAAGACGGCTGGCCCCGTCTCTTTTGTGAGAGAACGATCGACTCGTCCGATGGCTTCTTTCTCCGGTCTCTTTCTTCTTCCGGAACGTACCTCGCTTTTCGGCCATTATTGAATGTTTTCTGGGGTTTTTTCTGCTTTGGTGCACAGATTTAGAAGTCCTCAGATGCAGAAATAGTTTTTTCTCTGTCTCTAAGAGTTTTACGTTTGGATATTGATAATTCTTGGAAGATAGTTAGCTTTAAAAGATAAATTATATTAGTAGTGGATTAATTAGTAATTTGATTTAGATCCTTCTTGAGACTTTTTTTTAATGCATATTAATAATGTTTTTTCTCGTTGTTCTTTCGTCTACGAGAGATCTTGACAAAGTACAATAATAACATGAGATATATTGAAAGAAGAAATGCTAGAACTCGCAATTATGCGCTTTTCTGAATTTTTACGTGAGAAGAAACAAGCTCGATTAAAATTGCCATTTTTAAAAGAAAAGAGTAATTTACTGATGTTAAATAAACATCTTACAATATTTGCTTTAAAATGAGCACAATAATTATTATATAAAATTTTGATTGATTCTTAAAAATTTCGTCTTACAGTCAGAGTACGCAGATTTTCGAATCTTTGTAAAATTATTTTGAAATGTCATTACACGACAATTTAACGACATAAAAAGAATAATACATAATCGGGATATATGCACTGACAACTAACAATTATTTACGAACTTGTAATCGCAATTCTATCTTAAGATAAAATTAACGTCAATGCTGACGAGCCCATTTATTTAAAAAAAATTATATTTAGTAATTTTAATCATGATTAATAAAATTTAAACAAAATTAAATGAAATAAGGTGCTTGATAAAACTGCATTTATTTTGCGTATTATTGGACGATCATAATTCTAAACCAGAATTTTGCAAAATAAATTCGCGTAGTAAGTATTTTTTATTTAGCAAAGAATTGCCGTGAATCATTACGAATGTAATGAATTTAGGGTACAGATAAAGACAAGATGTCAAACGGGGGACAGCAGCAGCAACAACGTTCGACTTATGTGGAATCGCACGCTTTAGCACACGCGACATTGCAACAGCACATGGCCCAACAGGCCGCTCAAGCGAGATTAGCCGGACCTGGACCACCCGCGGCTCCGCAACCATCCAACCCCACGTTCACTCTACCAGATGACGGGCTCGGCTATGATGACGGGGTGCGGGTGCTGCGTGCTCTCGGATCATGGTATGTAAAATAAGATATTTTATTTGGACGCTTCTCTATTAGAGTATTTCTGCAAACATCATCATCCAAAAACAGTTCCATCCGAACTCGAATCCGTTGTTGGATCTTTAGTTACAATAGTAAAATATACATATACTGTTTCCACTAGTCGTCTAGCTTCAAAGATGCTAAATTAAAATTTTATTTTGAGAAATTAAAAAATATGCAATTTGTTAACTCCGTATATAATTGCACTAATTTTTGAAGAGAAAGACCATAATATTGCAATTCGTTGCAGGTCGTCAGATTATCCTGCCGCAATGCGTCCCGGTAGCATGATGCCAGCATTTCCTGGCGCAACCGACCAACAGTTTAGAGCACCTGTAAATCAACCTTTACGGACGACGACAACGACGAATAGCGTAGGCGTTCGTCCGGGATCTGTTTCAAAAGCAACTAATACGGGCGAACCGACTACGAAAGCATTTTCTTGCACCGTATGCGGGAAAGGACTCGCACGTAAAGATAAACTTGTCATACACATGCGCATACATACTGGGGAGAAGCCATATTCATGCGAAGTATGCGGTGAGTGCAAAAATTATCTTTGTCGACTCGTTTTAGATAGAAAGAATTTTAATCCTATCAAAAAATATTTGATCTTAAAGTGAAGCAAATAAAAAAAAATAATTACGTTATGTGTTACAGGCAAAGCATTCGCACGTCGAGATAAATTGGTCATTCATATGAATAAACTTAGACACAGACCTGGCGTTTCACCTCTCTCGGCGCCTACGACACCGAGATCCGATCAACAGCAGCAACAGCAGCAGCAACAACAGCAGCAGCAGCAGCAGCAGCAGCAAGCGCAACAGCAACAGCAACAGACATCACGCCAGGATAGCATTCATAAACTGAAGGAGGAGCCGGTGAACTGGTCTTGCGAATTATGCGGTCGGATGTTTGCCCTCAGAGAGGAATGGGCGCAGCATGCTCGGTTAGTATTAATTATATTTCTTTGTTTTTTTTTTTTTCAAAATGTCGATATATCTAGATCTTAATGTAATATTTTAATTGCAGATCTCATTTGGAAACATCCGCACCGCCTCAACATGCCGCCCCATACTTTCCCGGATCTGCGCCGCCGCCACAATCTTACCCGTCCGAGAGGAATTTCTGCTTAGTGTGTCGCACCGATTTCACAGATAAGGCTGAATTTTTGTTCCATATACGCACGCACTGCGACTTGCACGCGCAATCGTCCGCGGGGCAACCATCGAGTGGTAAACAAGGCGACGCTGCCACGGCTGAGCTCATTGCCAGAGGACTTGTCGATCCGTCTGGCTTATGCAGCTAGAATTACTCTTTTCCCTGTCAGTACGTACCGTCGATTTGTGTCTTACCATAGTACAAGTTTTCTGCTCCACTTTGACCAGAAACTTTTGCATAGGATGTCATGCATATTGTGATTGTAATGATATACATATATACCAACTTATCGATAATAGGTACACAGTAGTACGTTCAATATTAATAAGAGTAATAGATTAAATATGCAATGTTGTTACAATATTTATTTAATTGCCTTGATAATCCAGTGTCATTTTTCTTCTAACATATTTTTCTTAGAAACTTTATCACATGCAAATGACTCATTTACGAGACGTCTTCGTTGTTGAAAAACTGAAGACGAATTTTACGTATCAAACTTAATCATTCTCTTTTGGGATGACAATCCAAATTATCAGAAAAATTTATTTTTTAATATAATCTTGATATTTATAACATACTTTATATTAAAGAGACAGCAGTTTATGCATTTTAGAGCAAGTACATATCAGGACAGTTTATATCGAGAAATTATTTTCAGAAATACTACTGTGTATCTTGATACGAGATAAGATCTATCTCGTTATCGAGTAAAAGAAGTTTAGATACTGACGCGATATTGAGAATGCACTATTGCGTCAATATTTAAAAGCTATTACTTAATAATATACGTTCCTACATAGCTAGCTTCCCGCCATCCAGGTACCAACAGATTTATTTTGTAACTTTTTAATATATACATAATAAGTATATAAAGGTGTATTTGCATATAATCTCATAAAACAAATGCACAGAGAGATCGATTATTCGTAATATAAGAAACATCATATTGCAACATACTTTAAATTAGATAAAAATGTTATATTTAAAAAGTTACAAAATAGCAATCCATAGCAGAATGTACTTCCTGATGTACAGGTTTGTTCTCAATGCTATTATATTTTTTATATATATGTGTATATACGTTTTACATTACAACGTTATAATTTAGAGAATTTATTATTTCGATGCTAACGCGTGTTCTTTGATAAAGATTTTGAAATTAAGAATAATGAGAACTGTCCGTGGTGACAGATTATATTATTTCGGAAAATTAATCATGTTTTATATTGAATTTTTATACAAGATGATTTACTTAAAGTAATAGTCTTAAATATTATTTTTTTTATTAAATGTTTTTTATATAATAAACATAAAAAACTGCATGATTTCGAGAACATCTTAATAGCGTATTTTGTTTTATTAGGTGTCAAATATTCTAGATGAATTTTATTTTATGCATAAGAATATTAAATTAAAATATAATCTAAAAATAATATTTTACAAAATAATTTATATTTAATATTAGAGTAAAATTTTATATACATATATTAAAAAAAATCAATTTTTGCATATAAAAGAAAAAATACCATATGGTCCTATATTTTAAAAGGTATAAATAATTTTTAAATATCGAAACAATTTTATTAAAAGTGCATTCCGTACTTGATGTTTCCACATATTTCAACTATTTAGAAACATTTAAAATTTAGCATTAATTTAAATGCACTTCAAAAGATATAGGCAAATCATCTTGTATGCAATCGTTTTTATATAATTTATCATTTAGCCATTCATTGATTATTTGTTTATTGATGCTAGACCATCATTGTCTAGTAAATTATACGATATTTTTGGTGGAAATTTATGATCTTCCAAAGACAGTGTATCTCTGTAATACATTGTCAATTTTTGTATACCAAACATAGATCGCCGTTGTGTATAGCATAAGTGTTGACTATGGATTATATGCTTAAAGACAAAGCTTAAAACAAAAATTGAAAAGCGAATGCTTTAATTTTAAATGCGCAAGAAAATTTTTCAATATTTTAAAATCAAATTTTTTAATTGACTTTAAATTTTTTATAAGAAATAGACTAGTTTTTATATAAGCTGCAATAATATCAAAAGAAAGAAAGAAAGAAACGTGAGACATATGCTAAAAATCTTAGTATTATTATTTGATCTTTTTAGTGCCAGTAGAATTTTTATTGCTGTTTTTTTTTCTATTATGATATACTTATTTTCTATTTTGTTACTATCATCCTTGGGACTTATAAAGTATTAGCATGTACTTAATCAGGGGTATTGAAAAGATTTATATTTAGTTATTATTTATAATATATACCATGACAATGGATGCAAAATTATTTCTCTGGTAGTTAATCATGAATCAAATATGATGGTGCATCCCGCGATAAAGAATGAAGAAAGATAGTTTTTCAAAATTCTATTTAATTATAATTAAATTTTTTTTTTTTAATTTAAATTCTAATTTTAAAATTTTTAATTTTTTAAATTGTAATAAATTAAAAAGAACTTTTAAATTAATAGTAATTTAGTATTATTAAGTAATTACTTTTAAATTATATTTTATCTAAATTTCGGACAATGAATTTTAATTATGGGAATCAGGAAACAGTCTCATTGTTTTATTGATTTTATTTTAAAAAAACATGTATACAACTATGTATACAAATAGGTTTGTTATTTGTAAGGGAAAATTAGGGACAATAATCGACTTTCCAGCTGAAGATCGAATATACGCATGGTCAGATGTTCTCGAACATCTTATCGTGAATTTGCATTGTGAACAAACTCTATCTTCCAAAAAAAAAAAAAAAGAAAACCGATGGAATCCGCTTGTTACAGCGCTTAAATTTCCTCTCTCTTTCATCTCTCCCTAGAATAGTACCCTAAGATAAGTCAGTAAAATGCGCTAAGAACGCGAGACTGCCGTGCCTCCTTTCCCATACACGTACAAATCTGCTTCCGGTTGTTTTCCATTCGATGATCGCTTTTAGGACGACCGTGCCTCTGCGTGATGTAAAAAATCAAAAGTCGGAGCCTAACGCTGAGCATATATTTTGTGTAATATTTATACAATACTATGTCAGTAGGAGTAATCAATAGCGACAATAGCGACTGTCTTAGATTACCATGCGTATGACAGGTACATATGGGAACGTTTCGAATTTTTATCTGAATTTTATATTTGAGCTGAATATTTTTTAACGAAGATGTATGATGATTTTTAACGTGAGATTGATGAATACAGCGTAGTCTCGCGATGATGTCGCGGGATGGATTTTTTACTTTATGATGTTTGTCTGTGTCGCGTGCATGTGCCGTTTTGTCTTATTGCGCGAACGAAAGTGCAATCAAATTCAAATTAATGCCTTTGGAGTTGATGTTCGCGATTCTTCGGAGATAAATAATAATTAACTACTCTAATCGGTCATTACATCTATCACATTAATAACGTTCGATAGGAAACACTAGGAACAGCTCGAGCTAGAATATGTATACAAGAAATATACGCCGATATTACACGCTTAATCATGTGCGACATAAGCACAATAATATAAGCTAGTTCGCACTATATAACTTTGATTTTGTTTTGGAGAAATTTTATACGGAGAAAAAAAAAACATAAAATGAGGCGTGCAAGAGAATAAATGCAATAATTTCCACGGCGATACGTAAATGTTCGTTGAGGATTTTAAGGAATAGACGTATAGTGCCTTTTCTCTGGGACTTATCCATACCATCGGCCATCATTTTGAATTCACGTGTTATAGGGAGGCACATCGGCATAAATAAGACATTGAAGTAAGTTAGTGACTTAGAGAGATAAGATGGCATTTATTTGATTTTCGTTCTTCTGTTATGAGGAGTTTATGTTTTTTCGATGCCACACTGCCTCTATAGCAGCTGTTTTAGATTACTTTTTTATACTGTTGATGTCACGCGCAGCTAATCAGAGTCTGTATATTACTGCCATAATTATATAAAACGAAATGTATACTCAATTACCTTTATAAATAAAACACGACCAAAATTATGTCGGATTTTATATATTAATTATATAACCAGTTGTATTTAAATAGATATTAAATAGATATGAATCTTTACATGCTTAAAGATTTATCGTACTGAAAAAATTATTGAATTTGAATAAATATTTGTTTCGAATAACTAGTATTGAAATAAATATTTATTAAAATTTAATAAATTTTTTGTTCAATGTGGATATGCAGAAGACATCGAGAGATCGATAGTAATAGTGCAAGGCGATGAAACTACGCTATCAATTGAATTGGCGAGGTATTATAATGCGAGTTTTCTCGGGCGACAACACACATCGGGATGACGTTGAAATCTTACGGTATGTGCATTTCTTTCTGTGCCCACCTAAGGTTGCCGAGTTCCTGTTCGGGATATACAGGCGGTTCGCCTTGTCGAATCGCGCCGCGCCCGTATTACGGGCTAACAATAATAATGGCCGGCCAACCGGCTCGACTTCGTTGCATTTTTATTTCTTCGCCCTTGCCCGACCCTTCTCGATGGCGTGGCACACTCGCATTATCACTCGCAAGCCTGGATAATAAGATAATCACTCCTTTGTCTGCTTTTTCTTCCCGTGATCTCCCGTGTCTTTCGCAGAATAAGAACGATTTTACGGTAGATGATCGCGCGCATTCAATTTGCACACCAATTTCAAATTTAGTTTAATAAATAAGAAACTTTCGTATAAATTTTAGTAATTATTTTATATTTTATAAAAACACGCAGATGAGAAAAAATGATTAAGAAGCGATTTTTCAGTTCGTTAAAATATGTAAAATATAACATGACTTATTTAAGTTAAATCGAGATTACAATAGTACTCGTGTTAAATGCATTTAATTCATAGTAATTGCGAGTTAGATAAAAAATTCGCATGTTGCAATAAACATATTTCTCCCTAGTATGTTGCACAAATATATGTATATATATTGGGCGTATCCCCTTATTTCCCTCGGTATCGTGGGATTCTCAGTTGCAACATCAGGAGAATGCAAAGGTTACCGGATGAAAGTGAATCGACCCTATGAAACACGTGATTGTGCTCGCATTTGTACGAGAAATTATGCGAGACATAACCGGGCGTTGCATTAACGAGCGAGATAAAAGTCATTCAATTCTATGCAGTTTTGACGTTTAATCCTCCCATTAATGACTTTAAACTATGATTAATATAAAATTTATTCCATTCGCAGAGAGATTCTTAAGATGCTAATATATCTTTACACATATTTTAAAAATAATATTAATATATTTCCTAATAGATACAAAAAAACAAAAATAAATTATTAAATCAATCGCGTACATTAAATTTAAGATTGATTAGAGATTTGAGATAAAAACAGAAACGCGAATGTCGAAGATTATAATTTTGAAATAAATGATATTTTTCACACGATTTTTTAAAATTATAAATTTGATTTTTCTTATTCTTTGAGAGATATATATACGGTCAAGTTTTTATTTAAAATCTTGAATTCTCTTTTAATTAATGACAGATCTTAATCAGCTAAGATTCGAAATTATGTATGTATTTTTTATCAGATCGAAAACTAACTTACGACTTAATATTTCGTGTCGTAGATGCATCGCCGCGCACATTTCCCATTGTTATTACAATTTACACGCCACTTAACTTTTGCTGAACGTGTAAGAGAAACCGTCGGGGGTCCGGTTGAAGCTGAGCTTCCCAGGTGGATAGAAATTGCGAGGCGCCGGGGTTGTTATCGCGTTGTACTGATGCGGCGCTGGACGAATCTGGGGCTGATACTGCGGTCTCGGGGGCGCGTACGTGGGTACGTCTTGTAATTCCGAGGGATGATGATGGTAACTGGGTTGCGGCCGCTGCCGATACTGATACTGCGGCGGAGGCTGCGGCTGATAAACGACAGGCTCCGGCTCGTAATCCGCCGGTTCATACTGCTCGTAGCGTCGTAGGTACTGAGGATGCTGAGGAGCTGCTGGCGCGTAACTCGGGGGTTGATAATCTGGCGGATTATACTGCGACAACGGTACGTATTCCGGTTGCGGTGCTACCTGCGGAGGTGCGGTGGGAATATGGTCCCCGGTCGCCTGCGAGAATTTGTTTGATAAATTCTTTCTCACAGATAAATTAATCATGAATATACAAATTAATATATTGTGTAGTATTAATAAAAAATTAATTATATATAAATAAAATTAATTATAGAGAAATAAAATTAATTATAAAATGAACTAAATTTTTATATCTCTATATAAGAATTAATAATTTGAAGAAACGTGCATTTTTGCGTACCTGGAAGCCATTCTTTCCCGCCGTATAAGTCACGGTGCGCCGTTGTCCGGTTGGATCGACGTACGAATATGATCCACGTCGATTACCTTCGACATCGCTTTCCTCTTTAAATTCAACGCCGTCTTCTTGAGAGTAGGCCGCACCAAATGTGCCATCGCCTGCGAGATATCGAGCATCGCTCAATATCGCCGCTTGCTGCGACGATTGATAACGAGGCTCTTGACAAGAAACACAAATGATGGCAGTCAACAAAAAAATCTGCAAAAATCAATTATAAATTAGAAACATTGTAATCATCTTTTACCATTTATTATATATATTTCTAATATATTTTATATATAAATATATCATTTTATATTTGTCTTGAGATGAGAAGATTGTTAGATACATATTAAAGGAGGTAGGTATATATTTGCGAGAGAGAACAGAGAACTTACAAATGCAGCGCGCATGTTGAAGGAATAATGGATCGTTTGGCAGCGGGAAGTGCAACAATGTATCCAGAAATCAACGAGAGGGGCGTTTTATACGGCAACTTGGTTCAGGGCGACCCGGCGAAGAGACCTTGATGGCAATCCGTGTGGATCATACCGGTCTTCCACCACGCCCGATCAACGTTTTCTGTACAGGCTAGTCCTCGTACTTTCCCCTTGATAACTTGGACTGACATTTCTTCCATAGGCTCGCGAGAAGAATAAATAGCTTGCTCCCATAGTTCATGCAGCGTGTCCTAAAATCTCCGATCTAATTTGCTTGTCGATAAAGTTTTCATTATTTGATTTTTTCTAATTTATAATAAATAAAATGCCCATTTCTATATATTTATATTTATTTATCTTATTTATTAAAAGAAAATCTTTGACGCGCAAAGCGTTTTTGAAATTAATATTTGGCATTTTTTTCTGAAAAAGGTATGTAATATTCATGAAAATATATTTTCTTATTTTCTATTTTCAGAATTACCTATATGTATAAAACTAAATAAGCTTATTCTTAAAAGAACGCAATAAAATCATTGTGAATATAGGTAAAGCACTCTTGTCTTGAAACATTAATTTGATCGATTGAAGAAAAAGCACATAAAAATTCAGAGAAGATATACATAATATGACATATTAATGTATAACAAAATGTTTGTTTAAAAAGGAGATTTTACTATCCATTAAAAAATTACAAAATTACAATATATATTATCTTCATAAATAGCAAAGAGAAAATAAAAGTAGAAAATTTGTGTACGTACAATTTATTTTACTAAAGACTCAAAATGCTAAGGATTCAGATATAAGGCTTTCTTGTACTCTACAGCAGATTATATATCGACGTTATTACAGAACGCTTACTGACTTACAATGGATTATCAGAGAAATAGCGTGTTGTAAGTTCGAGCATTCTTCGGAGTTGGCGTTCGGAATGCCGCAATTCTTGAAATTTTTATTATCTATACACATGCAATAATATAATAATTTTTATTATCTGCCAGAAATTCTTCGTGTATTCCAAAGCGCTCATTAAGGCAAAATTATTCCTCCTCATCGTAATAACCAGTTCTTCGATTGCGGTAATGAGTTTTACTTTCATTATGCTATCGCTAAATTGAAATCGACGAACGCAAATCTCACGGAAAATTAAGCCGAGTGTAATTTAATTTCCTCAAAGCATACGTATTAATTGTGACCTATACTTTGCTCATTACTTCCGACTTCTTTAACTCGCAGCGAAAGCAGAGTTCTCATTGCTCTCGGCCTCGAAGTTATTAGGTATATTTTTCTCGTTTATGATTATTTCTACATATCTCGCAATTGGTGCAATGCGTTACGCAAATATAAGAAAAATATATATACGAACAAAACCTCTCGAACGATGAATTAACGATAAAGTATCCTGTATCACTTTCATTTGTAAATAAAACGGGTAGTTCTGTTGTGAAAATATTACTTGCGGAACGAAATATTTCTGCCGATTCTTACATTTTTGCAGGTTGCTCTTATGCGTAATTCTTTCTCTGCCGACCTGTGAAGCGTCTAATAAATCACTTTCTAAGCAAACTCTCAGACTGTATAGAAGCAAATTGCATTGAGGTGAATTAATCCATGCGTGTATGATATCTATCGAGCGTGATGATGAAGTACAACGTTGTCGAGATATCGCGTATCGCGAGGAATCGTGCGAATGGAAGGAAGTGCATTTCTTCGTCCGCGTGCGTGAAGTGAATTTCCGGCACACCGCGATATCAGACGTCGCGGACACAAAATCTTTTCCGTCGATCGGCCAGAAATAATCGACTTTCTCCGGTCGTTCCCTCCTTGTCAAATTTATCTTTTTTCTTCTCTCCTATATCGATCGCACCTTTCGAATCTTGTCGCGGTCGCGATTCCCTCGTCTATATTCACGCGGAGATCGACGAGCTCGTTCGGGTCCATGTATTTTGCCTCTTCAACGTTTAAAAATCCAAAGATTGTTGTCAATTTAGCTCCAACGAGGAAATGGAAAAGCTTGTTAAGAACCGCCGTTTTATGAGATTTTCATAGATTTTTAATCGCGACGCGCGTTTCCCTGTCCGGTTTTTATATAATACTTCCTTCTAATCTTACATACATATCTAATATATAAGAAATTCTTCTTCTTTTTCTTTCCTTACCTTCAAATGATTTCTCGAATTCTTTGATAATCTGAAATTTTATTGCCGAGTGAAAAAGGATTCTATATTTAGAGTAGAATAAACACACACATACATACAATTTTATTTTGTTATCAAAATGTATTAAAGAACTAATTAAATATATAACAATCTCACAATCTATTTTTTATATATATCTTATATAATAATCACGTAAAATGTAAAAATTGTAGATTATGCATGGAAGTTTAAAAAGCAACAGGATATGTTATTTGCGATTCATGAGTTTTAATTGACGTGATTTAATACGCATCAATGTGTAAAGAATAATGCTTCTTACTCACGAGTGGTTGCATTGCATTCGCATTAGAAGTTTGCGAACGTCACGCAGCTACGTAATTATCTCGTCGTTCCAGATATTTTTTCTGCAAAGCAATAAAACCGGCGCGATCCATTATCTCGCGAAATTTATCGATCAATACTAAATTTTTTTACCGTTTTTCACCCTTTAATTTTACTTAGATTAGTAGCTCGCTGTTACCGATGACGCACAGTAGGTAGGGCACAGCAGATCATTTGCACATCGTAAATTTAATTGTGCAACGCACATAACGCATATAATATTTGCGGAACATGTTAAAAGTATTTTTTTTTCAATTTTTTTCTATCATCGTTTAATTGGGAGAATCCGCATTCTTTCGAATTTAATTCACGTTCTCATAAATTTAATATATCCCCTTCAATTTATACTTAGTCAAATGTTCTTAACATTTTTATGTTAGATCAAAAGTGACAATCTTAAAATGAATAAAAATAGATATTTTTTCTAATATTATTTTTTTCTGTACAAAGAAATTATATTAGATACTCTAGAATTACGTTCACTTTACTGCAACAAAATTTCTGCATTAAATAATTTTTTTATACATACACGTATATAAAATTTCCCAGAATTGACCTTTCTCTTTTTCTTTTCTTATTTTTTTATAATTTATTTTTTTCTCATAATATAGAATCATATAAATTAAGTACCGCTTCACACAATTAAATTCAAAGAACAAATAATATCGTGCAGACTGCTCGTAACATACGGAACATAAGAAGTTCTTTTAACTCTTTTTCATTTCATACAATCCTACGTAATCCCATACTTTGTTATAATGTAATGAGAATTGTTACGGAAGTTTTCTTTTACGCCAAAGTGGTTTTTTCTTCTCGTTTCTGGCGCGTCGTTACTTTTCATTTGAGACAATTTAAGTGCATACCCTACGGCTTTGTTTTAGCGCTCTGAAATGCGGATTTAGCTAAAACATTTCGTCGATGTTTCTTGTTGCGCCACGAAGCCTCGTTAAAATCCTCGATATCGTATGGAGTAATTTTACTACAATTCCTCAAATGCAAGAAAAACTTGCTTCAGAGAACATGTGCGGTTTATGCTTTAGTACTCACTCCAAAAATGCGGTATACTTAAAATTTGGAAAAAAATTATCAAATTTTAAATGACGATAACTTTGTAAATAATAAAGATAGAAAAGTTTTTAACAAATGAAAATAAAGCTTGGAATCTCTACTTTAAGAATATATTTATTTCAATGTAGCAAAATAAATTTATGAAAAATGGCGGATGACGGAACGAAATTATGCAAAATTAAAAAATAATGCTCCGCGTTTTCTAAGCATATAGCATGAATCAAATGTCGCAACTCAATGGGATAAAAAGCATATAATAGTACAGAGTCTCCTCTTTAAAATGCTTTTTTATTCATTTCAATACGATGATTTTTCGCCGAGTTATTCACATTTAAAGTAAAAAGCTGTCTTTTTATTCAAATGCGAATATTTCGGCGAAAAATCATCGTATCGAGATGAATAAAAAAGCATTTTAAAGGGGAGACTCTGTACTATCATATGCTTGTTATCCCATTCAGTTGCGACATTTGACTCCTGCTCTGTAATTGAAAAACTCGGACCATTATTTTTCAATTTTGCATGTTTTTGTTTTATCATCCGCCATTTTTAATAAATTTATCTCGTTACATTAAAATAAATAGATTCTTAAAATAGAGATTCCAAGCTTTATTTTCATGTTTTAGAAACCTTTCTATCTTTATTATTTACGAAGTTATCGTCATTTAAAATTTGATAATTTTTTTCCAAATTTTAAGTATATTGCTTCTTTTTGGAGTGAGTGTATAATCAACCCTTTCGTCTGCTAATTTTAATTGTCTCATATTAGAAAAATTTTTTTAGTATTTTTTATCTTAAATTTGTGTTTATAATTTAGGATACATCTTATTAAATTTATGTAAAAAACCTATCTCTTTTGTTAAAATATTTTATCTTCATTATCTTTATAATTATTATACAATCTCATTTTCTTTTCAAGATACAAATGATATTATTAAGATATACATTTCTCAATAAATTTGAGAGATATTTTCGAGATACAGTAATTTCTGTGTAAATCTGTCAGATTGCAACTAAGAATGCAACAAGTGCAAAATTATCGCTTGTTGCCTAATCGCGAGAAGAATAAAATAAATTTCTTTTAATCGCTTCTGAGAGCAATTTTACAATTATTACGTCGGAAAGATGCATTTACTTGCAACGAGTGATAATATATCCTTGGGGAGGGTCTTTTACCGTAGTTCGCTCGTTAGCCGGAGCGGAATTACGCTAAAAGTAGGTAACCACCGGCCGTGTACCCTCGCCGCCAATTACGTTGGGGCGACCGCGACTATATAGAAGAGCCACGCCGACTCCGCCGGCTGATTTCTGCGAGTAAAGTCGACGCGATCATCCGCGCACATCTCTCTCCGCAGCCATGAAACTATCAGTGAGTGTCCAGGATATTTTGATTAATCGATCCGATTTTATACATTAATACAGTGACATAAATATTTCAGCGACGTGTAATCTGACAGATCTCATTTTGCTAAACTTTATCAATATGATTATTAAGAATTGATTGTCAGCTGATTGTTGGTGTCAATTGATCTATCATTAGTCTTAAATGATTTAAATTGAATTTTGGTGAAATTGATATAATTTTATTAATTTTTTATTCATGAATAATTGTTTAAATCATATCTCACATTTATTCGAGTATTTTTGTTACTTTCAGTTACTTGAAATCAATTCTAGATGAAATTACCAGATTATATTAAGGTTGTTGATTACTAATTCGTTACAGATATTTCTTATTGCGGTAATTTCGACTGCGTGGGCGCAAACGCGAAACATAGAGAGACCCGGTCGCGCCCCGCAAGGGCAAGTCAAGTACGACGAAATTGATGGTGAGTACGAAAGAGGTTCTCTTTTTTTATCTTTCGCTAACGCTATAAAAAATACACTTCGGAGAACCTTGGCCCCGATGTCTCGCAATTAAGCGTTACCGCTATTATTGTTGCAATATGCACGCGATGTCCGATTTTCACATCCCAGATCTCTAGAATAATTCCTTCGTGATGCGCTCGGCGTGAGGTCGATGTTGCGCAAGCACCGATAATCGACGACCGACATTAATCGCGATGGTCTCTCTTATTGCAGGCTCGCGACTCAACTGGAAATTCGTCAACCCGGAAACCCAATGGCGACCACAACTGGCGAACGCCCAGAGGCCCCAACGCGCCGAGGGTGGCTCGTCCCAGCGTCTTCGACAGATTCAGCAGCCAGCTCCTCAGCATCGTGCACCGGCGCCGCAACCTCAACCTCAACCTCAGCAGGTCCAACAGGTCCAGACCCCGCAATACTACAGTTACAAGCCGTATTCTGCGGTACCAGGTCACATCAGGCAGCTGATCGAGTCGAGCTATCAGCCACAGGCTCCCTACGTTGATCCCTCGTCCTTCCTCTACGGAGGTGGATATGCGTTGGAGCAGCCAGCTCGGCTGCTTCCGACATTCCTCGAGGTGCTTATCTGCAACCATCGGCGAGATACCAGACGATCGATCCGAGATATAATGATCAGATAGAGCGTCAAGATAGCGTCGTCTACAGGGAGGATTACGAGCAGCAACAACAACAGCAGGAACAACAACAACTCGCGACGTCGCCCTTAGGAGCTCTGCCAGCTCCTCCGGCACCCACGTTATACCTCGATAAAAATATGCCTACGGAGCTCAAGCAGTTGTTACAGTATCAGGCGCAGATACCATATGACGTCACAGCGAATCGCATCCAGTACAGGCCGAAGAATATCTTCATCCCTAAGCCGTTGGGTGACGACGTCAAGGGACCTTATAACTATCGTAGTAAGATTTATTATTCGGATGAAGATAACGTTGACACGGGATATTCACAGGAAAAGCCGGTCGACGAGGGACAGCAACAGTAATTGTCTGGCCTTTAATGATTGTATAAATTGATATTTTGTCTCGCTTTTTGAAGAGGAATGGCTAGGTATAATTTCAAGACTCGCTCGAATCGAATTCCATTTTCATTGATAGAAATGGCTTTCAGCGTTCTAGCGTCATTAGGGCTTTATTAAGAGCATTTTGAGGCGCTTTAAATTATTGCGGCGTTTATGGACGCTTTAATGATACATTATCTTGCACCGTGTATTTTCCCAACGATGATTTTGTTGGAACTAGATGGAGTAATTAGAAGGAGTAGTTATTCGATTTAAAATTAATGTAAAACAATTCGTTTAAAAAAAATCAAACAAATATTTAATCAAAATTTTATTTGAAGAATAAAAATTTATTTGAAGTAATAATAACAACGGAACATTCATCGAAACGAAAATAAAATTAGCCCATGAGATTTCCTTCTGATCAATTTTTTCTATTCGATTTTCATTTCACTCAACTATAAGAATCAATCGATTTCTTGCATACAAAATAGAACATGCTTAACTACACGATAGCGTGAAGAATGTATAAGTTTTTTGTACGAAATAAATATCGTTTCCCGCTTCTCGCATCATGAAAGTCATTCACCTTGCTGTCGCGTAATCTTCACTTTTAATATTTCAGCTCGCGGAACTGGCGGAACTTCCGCTCGTAAAAAAGTGAGTTAATAAGCGTGCTAGCAAAAATTCGATAAAACTTAGATTGTCGTAAATTCACTCCTTTTTTTTCAGGAAGTTCGCGTTTTACGCGACGCGTGACTTGTTTAATTACATACGTGAGGAATAATTTCTACATTATTAGAACAAATAGAAAGTAAGACAATTTTTTAGCTTTCTATCGAATAAAGATATCTGATCTTCTCGTGATATTAGAAAGTGATATTGCCTCGTCCGGATATTTACGATGCGATGAGAAGATCGCACTCGAAGCACAGATTTTGCGAAAGAAAGTGAGTCGATATTAGCGTAATATGAGAAAATTATCAGACCGCATTACATTAAATCGAAGAAATTATTAGAAGATGTGAATATCCTAACAAGAGAAAAAAAATATTATACATACATGCGTAGATAGGTTGTAACATTTACCAACGGAATTTCTGATCGGAAATACATTAATATCTTATCAAGAATTGACACATAGTATTAGAAATCCAATCGAACGCACTTCATCATTGATGCGTGACGATACAAGATAAGAATATTTATGATGCGTGAATTAAAAAAAAAAGCGTATCATGTCTTTTTTAAATTTCACGTAGAAGATATTGCTTCCGAAAGGGGGATAGCATTTCTCCGGACAAGGCTGATGGTTTACTTTCGTAGCCTTCACGCTTCACGTATCGACGCATCGTCCAGGAGGTGCAATTGTGGACGTCATCTCGCTCGCATGGCACGATGCAACTTTCATCTTTTTGCTTCTCTTATGGCGTTTACACAAACAGACAATTTGCCAGGGTCACGTCCTTTGGATTCATTGTCCGAAGAAATCGAAGAAAATTGCAGCCATAAATTTACACAATGATTAATGACAAAGCGATATTATCAATTGATTAATTTCGTTTATTATAGCGAGATTTTAAATTTTTAGAAGTATAGAAGAAACATATAAAATACAGAAAAATATAAATGTCATAAATTTCTAAAATATGATAAATTTTAATTTATTAAATTATATTTCCCATTTTACTAGAAAATGCGCAATGATTTTATTTAATAATATAACTAGTCATACAATTGACATTTATCACAAGTGCAATGAATATTTTAATTTTTTCGAATATCCAACTATTTGATGTAAATCAGTTTCTAAAGAGTTATCCATTCTCTTCATGAATTATTCTACATCATATCATTGCTCCGTTTTATTTATCGGGTATCATTTCTTAGATAGATGAATCGTATCGTATTGTTTTCAGATGTCAATGCAAACCTTGGGATTATCTATAATTTCACGGGAGATCGAGTATTTGTCTGTATGTAATGTAATGCGACACGGTGTAACTTTCTACTGTAAACTGACGTAATGGCATTTCTGCTTATAAGTAAGAGCGACTTTGCAGTCGAGTAATTGAATAAAATAAAAGTGTGCTCTACGATATAATTACGCATGAAAGACAGGAATCTGTGGAACTAACAATAATGAAGCATCAGAGATCTATTATCAAATCTATTGCAAAAAATGAGAATTTATAATTTCTAGGATATGTCGAATCGAGAATGTAGTATAAAGAATGATGTTAATTTAAAGGTATATATTCTTATAGGAAAATCTCGGAGTAATGCAACACTTACATTAAAGAATAATTTCTCTTTAATGACACTTGTGTAGCCTTTACCTATAATTTATTGTGTAGTAAATAGAAAATTCAGAAATTTTCATTCTGTTTTCTCTTTTTCAAAACTTGGAGATCTGTATTATTTTTTTAATTATATATTCGATTCTAAAAACAATGGAATATAGCGCGCATTTATGTAACATGACAAGATAATGATTCAATTCAATGTCGGCAATCAATTACAGATGCGCGCATAGTCTTCGCACTGTAACCTTTGCAAGGAGACTGCCTGAGAAACTTTGTATTGAATCGCATTCCGCTGCGACTAGTTTGTCGTTTTCCACTATAGTGCACTCGAGACTTTTCACGATTATACATTACATAGAAGATGAATGCCTCATTAGTAAGCCGTTCCTCGTACGTTGCACGAAGAAAGTTTAAAGAGGCAAACAAAACTTGAGATTTTATTTGCAAATAAGCAAATATTATGTAGAATTAAACTTGCATTAAATTATTGTAAAAATAAAATAAAATTATTTAGGAAAAGCGTATTAATAATTTTTTAAAACTTATTTATTTATTAAAATTATTTTGTTTAAAAATCTTTGCTATTGTCATATGAAATATCGAGGCTTTCTTTATTTTCTATTTTATATTTAAAAAATCAAAATAGTATAGGTGAAATGAGTCTGCAATGAGCAAACTAATTTATTACAGGAATTTGTAGAATTAAATAATTTTTGAATTGCTATAGTAATTAACTCGAATTTATGAAAGAATTCATTATTAAAATTATACACCTTTCGCATAATAATAAATAAATAAGAAACTAAATACAAGACCAATAAATTTTAAAGCAGAGAAATTCACGCAAATAAAAGTTAGCAGATAGATCAAAATTTCAATTTATTCATGCTTCTGCAAATGAAATTTTACATCGGAATTAACGTAAGACTGTTACTTAGTGTCGGAAGTATTTTTTTTAACACACTAGCGTTTGAAAAGAGAATAGTAATTGTTGGATATCGGTCGGCTGGCTGGTCGATGATGGAGGTGGCTCTCGCCGAGTCACATCCCCGTCGTCGAAAGGTTCCTTTTACGTGGCCGACTATAAAGTTGTTCTGGTGATCGCGCGCCCGTCTCAGAAACACTCCACCCTCGAGCGAATCGACCAGCTTTCTCACCATGAAATTGCATGTAAGTACGACCTCATTATGTTTTTCCTAAATTCGAAAGTCTTCGTGACACGTCGAAAAACACTGTAGAAGATACAATGTAGAATATATGTGCGTGTTCCAAGAATCATAAAACACATGATTTCGACGAGATTTAATGTAGGTGAGATGAAGTCGCGTCCACTAATTATATTGAATATCCGAGTTGTACGAGCAATAAATTGTGCCATTATTAATAAATGTGTACTTCGTGAAAATCATCTTGTCGCATCATGAAGGCAAGAAATGTAAGACACGGTTCGAAACGGAGTGTCGGGTGCATTTAATTAAACTCATGTGCTTCGAATCTTAATCAAATGGATGATTTAATTAATATTTGCATACTTTTTTGCACTTTTGTTTTGTTTTTATTTAATTTTGTTTTCTTATTTCTAGATACTAAATTCATCGAATAATGGATTTTTGTTTATAAAATAAAATTATAAATATTTACTTTAAATTTCTTCAATATTATATATATTATTAAAACAAAATTTTCATAATAAAATTCTTTAATTTTTTTTATATTGAAATGTCATTTTATCCATTTAATTAATTATTTTTCCATCGCGAGCGCATGTCTACAAAAAATAAATAAAGTGTATTCTTCTAAAATATTATTTGCGCAAGAGATCCGAAAACAGAAAATCGCTTGTTTAATCAGCAGAGATACCGTCTTACATTGAAAGGTAACGAGCTTGTACAAGGAAATGACAAATATCATGTACTTAATTACATCGTTTGATGTCGCAAAACGGGCGACGATTTGGAATGCCGCTTAATTACCACAGTCACTAGTCGGGAATGCATTTTGCGAGCCAATTATCAATGGCGGATACGAGCAATCAAGATTTCGAAATCTTGTCGCAAGTTCGCGGATCAAAGTTCCAACATCGAAAGTAATTCGCTCTGTCTACGTTTGCTTCGTTCTCCTCTATATAATTTTATCCGATAAATATTAAATCACATTGAAATGTAAAAAAAGATATTCAGCAAATAATAAATATATAAAAATTTAATTATATACAGATTATCTCTTATATAATATGATATATCTCTTATATACTTTAATTTTGGCCAAACAACAATATTTTATTTTTTAATCGTATATCTGTCTTTCCATTATTCGTGTCTAAGAATTGCTATCTTTTTATCAATTTTGTCAATATTATATACTACACGCATTTTAACAGCTATCTCAATTTTCTACTTTATCGAATCTTTTTTACTTAATCGAGAAAACTTGCAGACCTCAATAATCAACTTGCATGTCGCGACTTTCGTGACTCGCGAAATGTCACTAAAAGGTTTCTCGTTCCGCGAGATAAAATGAACGCGTATAATTCTGAAACGAAGACATTTCCAAGCGAATTCAGCTAATATAGGAACTTGTTTTCCCGAATATTAGCGCCACATGTGTTTCTGAATCGATTAGATATCTTACTTTCTACCGTGTAACGCCGGATAACTGTTGCATTCGATCTCTTTAGTCGTTTTACGACTCGCACCTTTTTTTCCACCTGCTTTTCTATCTTGCCATCGTGTTGCAGCTCGAGTGCGCCTTGAGACGTGCTCACCTTTTCCTGATTACCGCGGCTACCGACTGATTAAAGATTCATGCGCTCGCTGACTTTCGCTTCCAGCTTCCCGCTTGCTCGATATGCTTCCATATATAGTACACGTCGTAAGATACTAGATTCAGGTTTAGTGCCACGCGCGTTAGATAATGATCGTTGATCTGTCTGGTTACGAAATCAGCGATGTAGACGGTTGAGTGTAATTAATGTACATTCATTTATTTTAGTCTAATGGTTGAATTGGTATAATAACAAAAAGTATAATTCATCGAGGATAATATTATTTATTATTAATTATAAAAATTGTTAATATAAAATAAACTTATTCATTTCTTTGTTTGATTAATTATTTTCTCCTTTGGGACACAATATTTAAACCATTAAGTAACTTGTGGCAATAATTTTTGTCTTGCAAAAATCATAGAGCTCGTATTTTATTATAACATATCAAAATCTATATCGAATTCGAATTTATTTAATCCAATATTATAGATTTTATTGTTGATGGCACTTCCCATGTGCCTGGCTGAGTTCTCGATCCAGGGACCTAGCGACGGCCATCGACGAGCCCAGGGTCTTAAGTTCAGTGAGGAGAAAGGAATCGAATACACAGATGCAAGCGGTAAGCGCAGATAAGCGATCGCTAATGCAAAACAATTTATACCTGTCTTCGCACATTTTAATAGATTTCATAATTTCATGAATTTTGATTTCGATTTTTTGGGTAGCCATTTTTTTGAGATCCTAATTTAACTTCCAAATTATCACTAAAAATCCTTTCAAGAATCACACATCCCTTATGATAGATCTCCAAACATGTAAATAAATATGTAGACTTAAAAAATTGATATACAATTTGCGTGCTTTCGATTTTTAGAAGGAGGGGGTCCTGGAGACTTCACCATTCAAGGGGCGACCGACGGTAACACCAACTTCAGGATCCAAGGTGCTTCGGATGGGCACTCGGACTTTCAGATTCAAGGGCCCTCGGATGGTGGAGCGGCTACCTTCAACATACAAGGGGCTACCGATGGGCATAGCCAGTCCTTAATTCAGGGACCGTACGATGCTAATCAGGGTAACACGAAGGCGCTCCAGTACGACGATCCCAGCGGTACAGTAGCAGCTTTTTACCTTATTGTTATCTCGTCTATGCGTAACAAATTGATCTGACATAAATATGTATATCGAAAGGGTACAGAGTAAACTGGAGATCATACGACCGTCAAACGCGTCCGCGAGCGCAGACGGAAGTGCAGTACGCAACACAACCTGCACCAATTCAACGTGGCGCTCGACAGCGAGCTCATCGGCCGCAATTGCAGCAGCAACCGCAGCCGCAGCCGCAGCCGCAGCCGCAATCGCAACCGGATCCCATTCCGAACTACAAGCCTTACGCCAACGCACCGCAGCGAATCCAGCAGTTGCTGCAATTCCAACAACAAATTCCGTACATCAACATAATTCCGGAACCATACAGGTACCACAAGCAACAATAACGTTGCTAATTAATTTTTAACATCCCTAATAGCACAACATATCCGAAAGATATTCAGAGGATATTTAGAGGATATCCAGAGAACATCCTCAGGATGTTGTCTGAACATGGTATAAGGGATCCGTCTATATTTTTATCAATATTTAATTAATTTATATTTTTGTTTAAAATATTTGTAATATTATGCGCGCTTGTAAGACGCAAGTCGAGATAGGTAGCTTCAAATTTCCGATGACTGTCGTAGATTTGACGAGGCAGCCGCGGTGCAGGCTCAGTCCCAGCAGGTCCGAGCACATCTTCAGCAGCTGCAGCAGGAAGCTGCGACCGCACAGCCACCCACCCCGATACAGGCGCCCGTATATACCCCGGAACGGCGTCAACCCAAGTCGCGCGGTCAATCGAGAAGCAAACGTCAAACGCATCCTCAACAGCAGCAGCAATACCGCAGGATATCTCAGCCGCCGACGGAGCCGCAGCCGCAGTACTCCACCAATCTGCCGACTCAGCTGCGCGATTTGCTTCAGTACCAGGCGCAAATACCGTACGACATCATCGCCAACCAGATCGTGTACCGTCCGGACAAACCGTACGTGCCGCATCGCGTGGATCCGCCGCAGCAGCAGCAGCAACAGCAACCGATACAGCAAGCACTACAGCAAGCGCAGTACCAAGGTCAAGGTGGTGCTTACCAAAGTCAAGGTGGTGCTTACCAAGGTCAAGGTGGTGCTTACCAAGGTCAAGGTGGTGCTTACCAGGGTCAGGGTGGTGCTTACCAGGGTCAAGCCAGTTCGTACACGCAGGCTCAAATACCTGCGTATAATCCGGGTCAGCAGTATCAGCAGGGTGGATACAATCAACAACTTGGGTACAATCAACAGCAGCCTGGCATTCGACCTGTCACCGAGAATTAGTACTGATTGTTCGTCGTTTATGTACGGTGTGATTACTGTACTTTGTTTCTATTTAGCGAAGCGAAATCAATTTTAGGGGGAGACTGAGTTTTAATTTGTAATATAAATTAGATGCTTACACTTTTTATACTATTTATAGTTAAAAAATTGAAACAAAGTTATAATTAAATTTTTTATTATAAAAAGAATTATAAACAAAAATTACACAACAAATAATTTAATGGAGACTATGACACTTTGAAATATTCTAAAAATATTTTTCTTGGTCTTGCTAGAATAAGGATATGATAGGGGAAAAATGATTTAATACATGTTACAATAATAGAAATATCTATGATTCAAGGATACATGATACATGCAATTTAATTAATGCAGTGTGAGAATTTTAGAGTTTTACTGTTTAAGTTTAATATTATAATAAATAGATAAATATATTCTTTTTTTTATATTTTACTGAAATTTGATGTTATGAAAACAATTAGTTTACTTTTTTTTATTCAATTAGAAGTTGAAGCTTATAATGTGTGGAAACCTCCAATATTCCATGAACCTGTACTCGAGAAAGTACATTCTTACATATGAACGCGTTTAGAAGTCTTAATATATCGAGGCAAGATAGAGCGCAAGTACCGTTCGAGAATCAACAGTTTTTGTAATTCTCGCTTAATGAAAAGAGAGTGTAACGCTAAAGCAAATCGTTGCACACGAATGCATCAATGTACTGACATGAATTCCGCTATGTATGTACGAAATAGAAATATAATTGTTTGTATATGGCTTTTTACGTTTTTAAATAAAACATTTACGAATGTGTTTTTCTAATTTTTAATGCATCAATCCATTACAATTTCATAGACGTATTCCCAGAATATAAAGCCTGCTTTAGCATTTTTTAAGTAGTTTCAGTCATTAGAGCAATAATTAATTTTTTCCCTAATTTAGGTCCCCATTTACGTATCATTATATGTTAGGTCAGCACAATGATTTTTAAATATTTTTTATTATCAAACTGAGGATCATTTTATAGACGTATTTCCATATTTTAAAGCCCGCTCTTGCATTTTTTAATTAGACTAAAACAATGAAAAAATTAATTAGACTAGAACAATGAAAAAATACATTAGAACTTGTCAAAAATACATTCTACATAATACTAGTTTTATTTTTCCTAATATTAGTATTATAATTTCTAGTATTAGTTTCATATTTCCTAATTTTAGTTTGTCCGGAAGACAAATTTTAAAAAAGTCTCCTTTTTATTAAATTAATTCGAAATAATTGTTCATAATAAACATATAATAATTATAATTATGATCCATCTCTCCATTGTATTCCCATTTCTTTGGTATGCAATTTCTTGTATTATTACACTTTACTCGGTGAGCATGTACGCTCTCTATCTCTACGATGATTATTTATTTCATCGGAGAAATCGAGACAATTATTATACCCACATCAAGGGATTCGATATACAAGTTCCGTCACATTGAAATTTTATCGAAAATTAATCGAACACCGATTTCTCGCAATTTTTTCTATTGCAACACATTTTACTTTTATGTTAAGCTGTCACGATACGAACTGTCATTATCAAAACCGCGGTCGCGATCGCTCGGAATCAATTATACACGCGTATAAACGGCACTTTTTTCATAAAAGATAGAATGGATATAATCTTTATAAATTTTAATTAAGTCTTAATAGGTCAACATTGAATTTGTTCAATAAATTATTTTATCTATTCATGATTTCTCGCACGCATATTCGTATAATTTACCAGATATTGACAATCAGTTCAGTTTAATCGAATCGAATTATTATTTAATTAGGCGATCAATCAAGAATAGCTAAATATAGCGTTGTAAATATATTGAGTTGTGTGTGCAACGAGTTCGGAATAATGAAAGTAGAATGCCAATTTTTTTTACGCAATCATATGGCGTATATACGTATGTATACATATATGTTCGACAATAAAATCGTGATATCTAATAATCACGAGTGCCGTTTTCACAAGATCACACTCCTTGATTAAGTTTAACGATTTTTTTACGAGATATTAAATACAGTATTTTTCCATCTTAAGCAATGTGTGATATATTCTTAGAAATTTCCAGCAGAAAGTCCAAATGATGATTGATTTACGTTAATTTATTATTACTTGAAAATTATTAGTGTCTTTATTAACATTGTGTTAATATGTAGTAATTATATATTAATTTTTCCTTTTTTGTTGTCCATTCTCAAAAAATATATAACACGCTAATGCATTATACTGCAGCAATGCACTTAAACTGCGTTCGATTTATAACTTATGACGAATACGGAAACGCTGCACGTTTCCTATATCAGAACCGTTACGTGATTAGATGTATATGCACACATTTTTCTTTTCTACGAAGTCGATATCTATTAGCATGCACTTCTACTTAGTTGTCGAACACGCGAAATGCCGTTTCTATCGCGCGAGTAATCGATATGCATTCGCGATTACAAGTCTTCAAGTACAACCGTGAGATTATTAGTCTTCGAAGATAGTGTTCGGCGCATTTTATGATACACGCAGAGTATAAATTATGAGGCACGAGTCATAATTGTGTTCCTCGGAAGCTAAAACATTGAAGTCATTAAAATAAAAATGATATAATTGTGTTAATTTAAAAAAAAAGCAAAAATTGCAAATCAAATATCTTTTAATTATTTATTTAATTAATTATTTATTTAAATATTTATTTCAAAAAGTAGCTGAATGTTGAATTTTAAGAAGTACACTTTCAAAACTTTCCTTAGACATAGTCATGTTAATCAGATGATAATGTAGGTGAAATTTAAGTATAGGAGCTCATTAAATATAAAAGTGATATTGATATACTCGTACAACTGTATAAGTATGGCATGCAACTGTAATTGTAGACAAGCCAACGACTTTCACGCGAATCGAAAATAAATGGTGATACACTTAATGATAAGTAGCGTGCACGAAATTTCGGTTCTAAAATTTGACGTTTGATATAGTTGCAAGGAAAACGCAGAGGAAAGGGACACGGTATAGAACCACTTTCACGTAATAATATCGCCGTAATCAAGCGCAGTAATATAATATGCGGAATTACATAAATACCTAGGATATTAAATTACATATGAAAAAAAATGTATAAACTATGCAACTATATATTTTATATTATAATTAAATTTTGTTATTTGCATCCAAATAGAGAGAAATAAATCATTTTATATGCAGTTAAGAAATCTGATGGTTTTTATCTCCAAAATTTTTATTTTGTATATTGTATAAACTAATTATTATGAATTATGTTTCTTTCTTTATTACTGACATCGTGATCTTTTCCCAATCTCTTACAAATATCTCTCAAAAATTGTTGGTGTTTTATTAGTATTTACTATAGTCTAGCAAGAAATTTAAAATTTTGCTAAACTAAAGTTGGAGCGAAAATTCTCTCATAATTCTTTGCAGAATGCTTTGCATACGAAGGAGAGACAGACATAGCCGTGCTCCGACTTTTCTGCTGCCACCTCACTATCCCGGTCACTTCCTGGCTCGCCGCAGCTACGGGACGCGTTGGTTCGTTATATCTGGTTACGTGACCAAAGGCGGGGAACCTGCACGCAAAAAAAATCGCTTGAAAGCCGGCCAGCCGTGAAAGCTATGGTGGTGGACTCGACGACGCGGTTCGGCTCGCGATGGCTGGGGCCCATATAGAAGTGCGTCGCGACGCGGACGTCAGTTTTGTCTCGCCGCCCTCTGGATATTCGTCGTTCGGCACCATGAGATTCCTCGTAAGTCCCTTACACCCAAGTTCGATCGCGATCGTCATTCTAAAAAGTCCCGCGAAATTTCGCGATCCACGATACGCGGAGAGAAAGTGCGATTAAAATCATTCTGTCGGCGCGAGTACTTCGTTTTGCTTTCAAATCTCATATCGATCATCGTGATGATTTTATTCCGTACACGTAATGGAGGAAGAAAAAAACGTACGAGAACGATCGCTCATTAATCGCGGAGTGAAGAATGTTTCCGAGTATTTATTTCTAAATAGACAAATTAGACAAAATCTAGTTTAATTGCGATTAATATTTTTTTTATTTCCGCCTAAACGTGATTTTCTTTGACAATTTTTTTATGAAAATAACTTCGTAAATTAATGTTATTTTTATCCGAAAATAATCGAAAAGTTGAATTTTATTTATAGTCTAAAATGAGCACACGAAGATTATTCATGTAGATTCATAAAAAAAATGTTATTACATGATCGAAAGTTTCTTAATTTTTTATTTTTTCTTAAGAATATTTAATTTATCACTTTTCGGAATTAATGTAGACACAGTTTGTCAAGCTCGGAAAATTTTGCAATTGCATTTCTGTATGATCATTATAATAAATTAAGTTCAACTGATTTACATACGTAGCGATCCAACTCGATCTATTATTACTTCGAACGCGATTATTTCACATCTCGCGATATGAAACACGACATCAATGCATTAATAATCGATACTAGCTAAAAATTTTATTTGCATTGCAAATCAAAATATTTTAGCTTTCTAAGATCACTTTGCAACATTTATCTTATATTGTATATAGAACGCATAAAAAATCGCAAGCACTTTCTCTTTCATTTTCTTCAAACTTATTTATGTAAGAAAAATGCGTTTTTCTCATATCAAAAGGTAAACGCATTATTGTTGTATGATTAAGTGATTTTTTTCTGTTGTCCTTTAGTTTTTAATCCTCGCCATAACACCGGCGTTAGGAACAGGATTGCAAAGTAAGTAACAATATAGTTCTACTTCATGCTTCTCAAAAATATCTTTTGCATCTCAGAAATACCTATCTATTATTCTATCGAACTGTCAAAAATGACATAATACAAGAATAGTGTACGCATAAAATAAATTTTTCCGCCGATATAAAACCGAACAAATTTGCACTTGTCTCCATTACTTTCAGGCCACATTCGTGAACGAAGGCAACAACCTAATTACCATCAACCTAATTACAATCAAGCGCCGGCTGCGATAAGACAGATATTGGCGGCTCAGCAGGCTCGCGATCCGATCGTGCATCTTCCGCCGCAGCCGATACCGAATCTAGGACCTGCCAGACCTGTCGAGCCGCAATACGTCAGTCAGTCCCAACTGACTCAGTATCGGCCGCAAGTACAGTCGGCCAACAACCTCAGCAGCCGACCTACAACCAGATCCCTGTGAAACCGGCCCAATATAATCCGCCGGCCTCCGCTCGACAACAATACAACCCGGGTGCCGCCCAACAGCAATATAATCCGCAATACCGCACTAATTACGCGCCGCATCCGCAGCAGCAGTTACAGCAGCAGCAGCAGCTTCAGCCGCGGTTGCAGCCGCTGCCGCAACAACAAGTCGCGCAGCCGAATTATCAATATTCTAAAAATCTGCCACCGCAACTCCAGCAGCTTGTGCAGATCCAGCAGAACTTACCCAATGCGATTCCGCAGGGACAACATCAAGGATAATCGACCACCTCTGTTGAGGCATCAAAGTTATAATATCAATCTTGATGTCATTATACTTTCATCAGATCATATCATTTCTTATGTATCTATTTCATCCACTCATTAATTCATAATCATTGACAATGGAACGCTAAATGCGAAGATATATAGTATACTTTGTCATTGTTATTCGTCTTCGTAAATATTTTTTATAAATTATGTGTATGTCGAACTGCGTTGAGAAAGGTAGATTACATTGAAAGAAAAGATTTTAATAGAGTTTTTTTTAAATAATTCTATAGGAAAAAATTAATATTATTGTTTCTTGATTAGTGTCGTATTTTTATATCCATTTCATTTCATTCCTACATCATTCTATTTGTTTCATTAATTGCATTGATATTTTCATAAATCTTGCAACATGTAAAAGAAGTCTGCATAATAAATCTCGTTCGATTTTCTCGACTTAAAAATCCCACGAATCATCTTACTACCCTCCGAAATTGCTCTTTGAAATTTAAGGCTACGCTGCAACACTTACGTCACATTAGCACGCTTAATTATGTCCCCTATCGGTTCGAACTTTCGAATGCAAGGCTCAATCGCGTCTGTTAAATCCGAATCTTTTCCAATGAATGCATAAATCCGCCGGTGGCATATTTCTATATCGACGAATGCAGTTGGAGCAAACTCTCATAACGCGTAGCTCGGCCGGGAAATCCGAGGGTATCACCGCACCGATGGTTCCGCACAAGGGGCGTATCTGCACGTCACCACTCTGGCAGGACAGAAGAGAGAGAGAGAATCATCCCCTTGTGCGTCACCCCCTTCCTGACGGCCCGCACGTCGGGCGAATGCAAGTCTTCACTTCGTGCACCCCAGAGAGGCGCGCACGCACCGCAGTCACACTATCCCACCCTGGCCTCTCTCGCGCCAATTCTTACCTACGTGCATCCCGTGAATGCGTGCCCCCTCGCCGACAAACAGGGAAGAGGATTAGCGAGTCCATTAAAGTCGCGGACTCTATTATCCGGAGGGCACAGCCACGGTGACATCAACCGCTCGTCATTGGCGTAGACTATATTTGCGAATGGAACTGCTTTGATCTGCTGGAGAGAAACTACCCTTACGCAGAGAGAGAACAATTTTAGCGATTTCTTCACTTTTTTTCATTCGGGATATTTTTATTCTGTCTACATACGTAATGTGTATCTAAAAAATTCATTTGGATTAATTTAATTTAATTCTGTAATCATTAATAATCTCTATTTTCTATACTGTAATATTTTTATTTATTTACCAACTGCATTTTTTTTTCATTCGGGATATTTTTATTTTGTCTGCATACGTAATGTGTATCTAAAAAATTTATTTGGATTAATTTAATTTAATTATGTAGTCATTAATAATCTCTATTTTCTATACTGTAATATTTTTATTTATTTACCAACTGCATTTTTTTTTATTCGGGATATTTTTATTCTGTCTACATGCGTAATGTGTATCTAAAAAATTAATTTGGATTAATTTAATTTAATTCTGTCATCATTAATAATCTCTATTTTCTATACTGTAACATTTTTATTTATTTACCAACTGCATTTTTTTTTTCATTCGGGATATTTTTATTCTGTCTACATACGTAATGTGTATCTAAAAAATTTATTTGGATTAATTTAATTTAATTCTGTAATCATTAATAATCTCTATTTTCTATACTGTGACATTTTTATTTATTTACCAACTGCATTTTTTTTCATTCGGGATATTTTTATTCTGTCTACATACGTAATGTGTATCTAAAAAATTAATTTGGATTAATTTAATTTAATTCTGTAATCATTAATAATCTCTATTTTCTATACTGTAACATTTTTATTTATTCACCAACTGCGTTGTTATAATAAAAATACAAGTGCATTAAGATTTGTGTGAAAGCGGCCGATTAGAGAAGGTTGTTGGAAAAACGGCGCGATTGTCGACAAAAGTTGATGAAAAAAAATCGACGCCATTGGAGGGAGGGGGGAGGGTGGTCATAGAGGCAAATTACAAAGGGAGGATTACCGGCAGCTGGGCTACCAGGCAACCATCTCTCTTCTCGTGCTCTCGCTCGCGAGAGCAAGCGGGCCATCCATGTCGTTCGAGAGCTCTTTGTTCTTCGACGCATTGGTAACATAATTATCGGAGTTATAGCAAGCCAAAACCTAAGCCGCATCCAAAAAAGGGGTTATGAGCGGTTAGCGTTGCGACACCACGTGTACGCGCGCGCACGTGGAATGCGTCTAAACATTGACGATTCATCGGCGAAGCTGCGCGCGATCGAATTTAACAATCTGAGGGATGTTCTTAAAACGCATATCGTCAAAAAAACTGAATATTACTCCTTTCTATGTTGATTTACGTAGCAAGTTTTTTATAAAATAATAATGTATGCTTTTATACGAATCGCGATCATTCGTTAGGTAGTTTATTCTTTCATTTATATATTCAGTCAATAGTAAAAATAAGAAATATTATTATTTATTCTTGTTTTATTTATGCTACTTTATGCATCGTAAACTTTATTTATTTAATCTAAATATCACGTTTTAACAGTAATATATATATATGTGTGTGCGAGTGAATAGAATAAATCTAAATACGAGTTATATTAAATAAGAGTATAAATTTATTTGAATATATATTAGATATTTCGCTTTGTTTCCTTGAAAAAATTTCTTGCTTAATATTCACATGCATAAAAACGTCGGTGCAAAAGAAAAAAGCATTAGGAAAACTGCATGTTTTAACGGAACTCGCTCGAAATGCGGTCGAGATTAAGTACAACGCCTAGCAATTAATTTCGTGGATATTGACTGAGAGCATAATTACCTTTGCATGCCTTTTGTACGGCTAATTGCAAGACTAATAAGATGTAGGTACGTATCCTGACCCGCTAAAACACACGTGTTTAATCTGTGAATTTTGCAACCGCGCCATTGAATGTCACGTTTCTTTGGTCGAGGTAATACGAGGAAAAAGAGAGAGGCGATTGACTTTCATGATCAGAAATATTTTAGCTGCGTAATTTCGATTGTGCAACGCGATATCTATAGTGCGTCCAAAGTTTTTCACACAATCGATTATTTACGATTTTTTGGATTGATTTGAGTTGATGTTTTCTGATTTTTTAGCGCAGTATCATAATATTAATATTATTTAAATCATAGGCGATTCTTACTTTCGACAATCAAAAGTTTACTGCGTTAAAAACTATAATTGTATTAATTTAACACGTAAGTGAGGGAAATATCGGCCACACCTTGTATGTTTGACACTTTGCAAATTGCAGTGTACAAAGGGCGATTACTCTGTGTATATTAGACACTTTATTGCAATCCATTGAATCGTACGTTCGCATGTTGTACATAAATCTTATTTATTAATTATTCTTTTGCAGGTATACAAGATAATAAAAATATTCTAAATTTTAAAAAATAGAAGCGCTAAAATATTCTTTCTTTATATAAAAATAAATTTTTTTACAGATCAAAGCAGCACGAATATTTAAAAAAATTAAACACACGGTCTTTTTATGGTATACATATATTTAATAAATAATATATTTTTTAATACAATATTATGTGCAAAATAAAACGATGGAAAGGAAAGAAAGGTTGAGATAATATAATATTATATTCTTATATATTTCTTGGCTTCGAAAATATTTATAAATTTCAACATAATAATTTTGAGATTTCTGGCATTGTTGTGAAATTTAGTTGAAGTTTATTATCAAGTTTTCAAATGCAAGAGATAAGAAATTTTATAAATATAATTTTAAAGAAATCTTATAGTTTTTTAAATCGAATTTATATTTGTTCCTTTTGAAATATGACGAACGGAGCAAATTTTTGTAACAGAAAGGATGTAAGGAGCGTGTGAAACGGGTTGTGGTCTGTCGGAGTGATTCCAATAATTGCGCTTAATCCTTAGGGTGGCGGCACGCGTATCGACAATCGTAAACGTGTCCCCATCAACCCTCTCTCTTTCTCACTTCGTCTCTCTCGACCACTTTCTCCCACTACTACCGGTTCACTTCAGATTCCCTTCAAAAGTGCGTTAGCGATGATTATGACGGGATTTATTTCAATAACAGAGACACGCCGCGTTCCTGTTTATTATAACTGACACACTCGTTCTACGTGGAATATATTCTATGTGTCACCAGCAAACAGTCAAGGATGCTGCCAGAGACTTTCGTATCGTACGTATAGAAATATATAGCTCGTTCGTTTATCTTTGTATAAATTGTTCATATTTAAAAAGATAAACGCTTCTCACAGCTTCTCAATAATCCCTCTCCAGGATCATATCTTTATTTATTAAGAGATAAATCCACGCACGGTTGACTCGACATTCATCTCATACAATTTTATTGAGTTGACGAGCGTTGTCAGACGAACAATGAATAGCAAAACGCTCGCGGGTACAGGAACGAGATGTGAGATTTTATTGGGTGACCCTGATCTTTAGCAAAGCTAACTGACCCTGTTTCAAGTCTGATACCATTGTGAGGAGAAGCCAGACCGGAAAAATCCAGCATGGCCGTCTAATGGTAGCAGCCAATCGTTGCACTTCTCATGACAGCTGCGCATCCCTCGAGAACTCGCTCGCTTTATCATCCCTCTCTCCGTTACGCAACCGAGACGTAGTACGAACGGGGCCCTAACTTTCTGATTTTTGCCTTACGAAGTCAGCCATTGTGAAAGGGGCCCGTTTGCTCGAGTATCGAGCTGACGTGTGTGAGTCTTCGTGTGGTCTTAAGTCGCGTCGTCCTCATCCTAGCTGGTCCCATAATTGTCTGTCGCACACACGTGCTTTTTTAGCGTCTTAAACGCGCGTTGAACACTAAGGGGATAGTCCTTTGAACATCAATGTGTCGTAACACACAGAGAGAACAAATATTTCTGAAAAGGCGTTACGGTATCGTGTGACGTTTCCATCTTATACATTGCGAAATGAAAGCGCACGCGGTATCGGATTCTCATTTTCAAACGTCAATATAATATTTTTATTATAAACTATTCTTGGAAAAATTACTTGGAAATCATTCAAATATTTTGCATCTTCTTCCACAAAAAATGTAATAGAAAATTTAACGTTTATTCAACTCTTATTTTATTTATAGACCTCTTTCGAAAGGAAATATTGGATTATAAAAGGATTTACGGTTTCCTATTCCCGAATAATGACCGAAAGGGAATCATAAAATCCACTATGGTATGTAAAGTCAGAATCAAAGGGTCAAAGTCAAAGTCTTATTATGTTAGTCAGATACTTCAAATTCTTTTTTTTATTATTTTAAAGGATATTCTCTTTGA